TGGCTAAATTCTAATTCACGTCCTGCAACTGGCAGATTCAACTGGATTTGCTGTGTGTCTGCTTAATCTGTGTGTATCACTACCTGGGAGGAGAACAACAAGCTGCTGTTGAACAGGGTAGCTGCAGGTGCTGTGACACTGCTCTTGCCGCGAGCTGCTGTGTCTGGAGGATGGCTGATGGCTTTGGGGCATGTGTGATGTGGGAAAGAACTGTTGGAGGGTGCTTGGCTTAAACCCTGGGATGGCTGTGTTTTAGCTTTGGGAAGTTCTGGTAGGATGGACAGACTTTCATGTCAGCTCAGGACTGCTTGAATGTCATTCATGAAGAATTTATTTAACAGGCTCAAACAAAGTTAGGCTTTTTATTGAATTCTTCAGTAGAGCATTGCAAAGAGTCCTCGGGGTTCCTTTATAGCTGTAAAAATCCCAAGTTTAGCTTGTGGAGTACAAAGCTACTGCTTGCTGAAGTCTCTTTTTACCAGCGGGTCCAAATATTTTCTTTACAGGAAATATTCTGTTGGAGAAAGATGTTTGGCCTTTTTGCATCTTGCCGTGCGTCCTTGCTTTGTGGAATGTCAGTGGTAGGGTGTGAGACCAGGTAACTTGTCCAGGCATTGCCAAATGTTCGTTCTTTTCCCACCACCTAAAGAAAAGCTCAGTTCCTCACTGCACTGCTCCAGATACTGAGCCTTTTCCTCAATGTGACTGAACAGGGTTTGGCTTCTTCCTAGTCGCGGCACATTTGCTCGTGTTACTTTTATTGCAGCTCCAGCCATCAGACGAGGTGTTTCTCTTAGGCACAGTATGAACATAAACCAAGAAGATGCGCTCTGCCTTCTGTGCTTTCATATACTCCGTGCAGGGGTTTCACCTGGGAGCAAGGGGCTGCTGCTTTGGTGGGCTTGTTTGTGTTGTGTCCCTCACTTAATCTGTTGCATCTACTGAAGGGTGCGCTGCAGGGGTATGTGAGGCCCTGAATGCACTCTGGTCAATTAGGTCTGTAAAGCGTTATTTATTACTATTATTTTTTTTCAAAGTGGGTCAAGCCGTTTTGGCATTTCAGGCGCTGATTCCTGGTTCAATTGCAGGCCTTGGTCTCTATGGCAACTGCAGAAAGCGTTCGTCATGGCTGTGCCTTGGGCCGGATTCAAACTTCAGGGACTGAGCAGGAGCAGCGAGAGCTTTGACGGGCTCAGGGCAGGGGGGAGGCAAGTGCAGGCTTTTGGGTTTTGTGCCCATCCTTGCTGTGGTAGAGATGAAAGACTGAACTAACAGATTCTTCATGTTTTTCGTTGTGTGCACACCCGTGGAGTCCTTCATGTGAGAAATACTCAGCATTACCCAGCCAGCAGATAGTACGAGGTGGATTCAGACCTCCTGAGTGTGACCAGCGCTCTGCCACTGACTTAAGGGAGAGCCTAAGATGGTCCTCTGGAAGATATCTTTTTTTCCCTGTCTCTGCAAAGGTGATAATCCATCCATCCATAAGATAATATGTATGGATGGATTTAGTTTTATAAAGCATGCCAGAGATGCTAAGTGTCTGGAAAACAAACTTGGAGGCCAGAGCCTGCTTTAGATTGCGCTTGGCAGAGCTGACACCGGAACGTATGGCTACGGTAGCGTGAACTGAGCTTGGACAAAAATATATGTGCCAGCTTTAAGCTAGTGAGTGCTGACACTGCTCCTGTGTAGCTGCAGCAGCCTTGGGTTACTCAGCTGTGACTGAAAAACCCACCTGAGGAGCTTTGTAAGACCTTGGCTGATTAGGTTGAATCGGCCTCCGTAGCCGCACGCTGCTTAGCAGTGGCTGTGCCAGGCGTGTTAAGCTGTTTCTGGAGCATTGTGTGCTCAGAGTGTGAAAACCAAGAGTGTATCCACTCCTGTGTGTGAGTGAATGTGTATGGATGTATTTATTGCAGTCCACAGAAGACAAAATTTGTCTCATTTCCCATTTGATTACAATTTGAGTAAAAGAGCCGAACTTTTCAGCAGGTTTCATCTGAGTTTCACAGGTGCAGCTGTGCCCTGCTTTTGAACTGGTTGTTTTATGTTTTACTTTAGAAGCAGTAAAAACTCTGTGCTTCTTCATAACTGTAGCCTGAAAGCAAGCAGAACCTTGCCTGAATTTGACTTGGTCTTTATGGAGTTGCATGAAGCTGAAACTCAAAGTGAAACTCGTATGAACTCATATGAACTGAAAATGAGAAGGAGGTTGTGCATGATAAACACGGGTTTCGTAGAGCTGTAGGAGAAACGGGTACGCATCTGTTTGAACAGATTTAACACAGTGATATGTGACTCAGGAACATTAGCTTCAAACTCTTGCCTTGTATTTCTGGGGACTTCTTACATGAACCCGTTTACATTGAATCAAGCATGCTGGGGTCAAGATTTCGGAGATTTGATCAAACGCCAGATAAGCAATAGCATGGCATGAGCAGGAGCAATACAGCCTCAGAATGTACAGTTGTTAACCACAGAAATGGTTCAGAACTATTTCCATCTCTGGAAGCATTGCTGATGAACTTCAAGTCTTAGTACCATCTGCACATGCACGTGGTTGCTGATTGCAGTCGCTACATTAGATGCAACTATGCTGGGTTGTTAAAAAAGTGTGTACATCTTCAGCTGAACTTGAGAATTAGCAGCAGGAGGACAGAAGAAGTGAAATAAACACCCGTTTTAACTGGATCAGCTGAAAGTCTATGAAGAAACCTGATACTTTTGTGTATTTCAGTAAGCTAAGAAAACCCAGATAATTTTACTTCATGATGTATCTAAACTTTTGTTGGCAGTGCTGCTGGGAGAATGGTCCAGATCACCTTTTGCTCAGGCTTTTCTTTTGTTTCAAGTGGGATTTGGAGAGATTAAAGCTTGAGTATTGCTGCAGTTGTGCTGTACATGTAGGTAGTATTGGGAATGCCTGTGTCTTGGTCAGGGGAAGGGAGGACAGAATATGCTGTTGGGGTGTTTCACTCATGAGATGTGCCACTGTGAGTGACCTGTGAAGAAACAAGGTGAGGGGGGGAGTTACTCTGCTGGTCTTCTCACCAGGGCTAACTTGGGGTTTAGGTGGCATTTGAACAAGCAGCTTTTAATTATTCTGTATCTATATGATTCTCAATCTGTTAAGTAGAAATAGCTAACAGAGTGGAGTCTGTTATTTAATCCGTCTTTCTTTCAGCATACAGAACATTTTGCAAACCATTTTCTCTAGTCTGTTCTTTATTTATATGAACTTCCACATTTGATGTTCTTGGAAATACCTTCTAAGGGTTTTCAGGGAAGTGCCATGCTGCTGCTCTTGCCAGTTGCAAGCTCATTTTGTGTATGAGTGTGAAATTTGATTCTGTTCATGTTTGCAGAAGCAAATATGTTGTGACGCTTTCTGCAAATTGTTTTGTGAAAGTTTCATCACTTGTGTGTTAACACAAGCAGGGAGCAAATAAAGGATAATTTATGGTACCCGTTCATCTGGTACTGAACCAAACCAAACTAAACTTGGTAACTACTGGAGGAGTGTATTACATTATCTACCCAGAGCTGCTAACTAACATTTGTAAAATGTTTTTTGTATCTTCAGGGCTAAGAGGCAGATATGATTTTTATCTGAGAATTAATGAAGCCTCAGGCATGTATTCAACTTCTCTAGATTTTCAGAAAGGCAATGGTGCGTTTTAATTATCTCACTGTACATCCCGTTGTGAGAAGCAAGCTTCAGGTTGTTATATATGATTGGGCTTAAATTATAGACCTTAACATTTTGGTTGTACTAGCTTCTTTAATTCACTCCCTTACAGTTGAAATTTTTTCATCCTTTTTCTATCGCCTGTTCTTCTGTCGCTTAGAAGTGGTCTGATTTCTTTTGCTCAGAAGATAGCGGGGTACTGTAACAAACTCAGCATGGCAGAGTTAGCATCCTTGGATTATCCTTAGTTCATTTTTGGATCAGCCCAGGTCCCACTGTAACCTGCAAGTTGCAGAATTGAACAGTACCAGCTGGAAAGGCCTCAAAGATGTTTGGGCTCATCATAAATAAATTCGACTGCCGAAGGAAATGAGTTACATAGGGAAAAACAGATATAGTGTGTGGTATTTTGAAGAGTCTGGCAGGAAGAGGAGGCATCAAAAGAGAAGGAATAGTGAGGAAATCTGAGTTTTCCCATTCTGTATAAATATGTATGTAACTGGCTTTGTGATTTAGGTGTTAGAGCGTTTGCTGTAGATACAGGATGGGAAGTCCCATTTCTCTAAATGTTTCATAATTTCCGTAAAGCTCTGAAAGGTCTTACTTTTCCCCGTTATGAAAGGGAAACCTTTTTCTTTTCTTTCTTTTTTTTTCTTTTTCTTTTCTTTTTTTTTTTTTTTAATTGTGAAAGCTTTTTATGTTATAGCAAAACATTTTCATGCCCAGGTCTAACTGGTGTGGGAAAGGATGATTTGATACAGGAATGTACTGTCTGTCATCATGACTCCCAGTGCTCCATAGTTTTAGATAATCTTTGATGGAGTGCTTCCTAAAAGACATGATTCCGTTTTTGTGCATCCTGTAGAGAATGGTTACACTTGCTGAAATAAAATAGAGGAGGGACAGAGAGAGTGGGACTGTATTGACATCGTCCTCATCCTTGAGTGCAAGTTTAGGTTTTTTAAGCTCAGATCATCATTTTAAACTCTCAGAGCTAACAGGAGAGAATGAGTTCATTCTTGTAGGCGTTCATCTGTGGTCAGATGAATAGAGGAACAGGTGGAGAAAGACACTGGCAGGCTGTTGTAGTTCCCTCTGCCACTGGTAAATGGTAACTGTCTACAGCCTGACTTTACTGGGGACATAAGTTCTGAGTGTGGCATTGGGTGTATTTCTTCAGGAAACCATATTTGTCTGCTGTGCTAGTGGAGGAATCTGTGGGTAATGCCTCAGGCCTGGATGCGGTTGCTTTCTGTTTGAGCTGAAGATTATTAACCCTGCTCTTCCTTTCTTTCTTTCATTTCTGCAGTACTGCCAGTAACTCAAACCGCAGCACGCCTGCCTGCTCCCCGATCCTGCGCAAACGCTCCCGGTCCCCGACACCGCAGGACTCCCAAGGAGACACCATGGTGGAAAAAGGCTCAGACCACTCATCAGACAAATCCCCTTCGACGCCGGAGCAGGGTGTACAGCGTAGCTGTTCCTCTCAGTCAGGCCGCAGTGGGGCCAAGAATTCCAAGGTAAGGAGGGAGCAAATGACTTCGGTCAAGATGCGCATGTGTCCCCGGTTCTAAACTCTCTAATGTGGTACACTGGCTTTGTCCTGTGCCTAATTTTTTTTCTGGCTAACTTTCCTCCTTCTTCCCCCATCATACCTTTGAAAATTCCACTAGCTGGGAGGCATAGGTCAGACTTGAGCACAGCTCTGAGTCCATGAGCTGCTGATGGCTTGTCCTGCAGTTCTATAATGGCTTGTGCAGGCTAACCTTTCTGCAGTCAGGGCCTCTTTCCTTGGGAGGCTCTTTGGTTTTGAGAAAGACCTTGAAAATCAGCTGTTGCAATTACTTTATGTCATCTGGATCACGAAGGGTCATGGAACAAAAGAAGATTCCTCTGCACGGACAGCCTGTGAAGGCTCCTGTCTAAGCCCTGTGTTGAGAGGAGGTTCAAGTTGCACAGAATCAGCTTCCCTCCTGTCGGTGCAGTAAATGACAGTCTTGGCCAGCGTAGATGATACTTTCCCTAGAAAGGTACTGTGTCTTTTGACCATGTTAGAAACAGCCTTGTCTTTGCTGTACTGAGAAAAAAGTTTCAGGTTTGGGGACTCTTGATTTTCTGTGAGCAACGGGACCTGGTGAAACACACACAAGGGCCTTGGGAGCCCAACATAACCTTTGATTATAACCCTACTGTCAGTGGCATATTACAAGATAGATAGCTGTCAGGAGCACTTGTGTTTTCCCACATTTTTGAAGTGAAATTTTTCAGCCTGAATAACTTGACGGTGTCACAGGCATAACTCCCATGGCTTGTGTGAAATGAGTTGTTTGATCTTTGCCCGATTTATTGCTGGATTGTGTCACCCACACAAGAATTCTTCATTCACTCCCCTTTGTGGTCACTGTCAGCAGAGGAAACAGGATTCACTGGCCCACATTGACTGGGCTGAACTGGTCTCTCGACACTAAGGAGGGAGCATGTGAGTTCAAAAGAAGGGGCGAAGGGTTTTCTCAAGATGAATCATTTAAGACGTGTCAGTTCTGAGGCTGTCCTTGAGGTCAGACTTGCTTCCTGCGCACACAGTAACCTACAATCAACACCCCAGGGCGGCAGGACAGGGTGACACCCTCATGTGTGATGGTGCCACCAGTCTGTCCCCAGAAGGAAGCCACGTGGATGGAAGGCAGGCAGGATGCGGGGCACGCTACGTTTATAGCCACGCTGGGGGATGCTCTGTCAGGGAGATGGCGTCCTTGGTAAGGGGGAGTCACAGAGACGAGTTGCATTGCCCTGGCCCATAAAGTGCTGTGATTTAAGGCCATAGGAGTGCAATTTTTACCAACGTGGTGACTATGAAAGCTTGACTTTAATTTGTGGTGCTTTTCACAAGGAAGGGGGGGGATATAATGCTTTCTGTTGGGTTTGTGGGTTTTCCTTCTCTTGATTTGAGAGGTAATTTTTCTTCTTTCCTTAATTTCTCTCTTTTCATTCCTGCATGCTTTCTCTCCGATTAAGTCACACAAGCGCCTCTCCAAAGTAAGCCTTCTTTTTTCTCTCCTGTCCCTGTAGAATTGTCTCATTGCTCAGAAACCCTCCCTGTGGTACTGAGCGGTGACCCCAGCAAGGCATTCTCCTGGTGTGGCTGCGAGAATGTCAGCAAGAGCTCAGCCCGATGCCTGTAGCTTGGAAGCTGGTTTCACTTATATCACTGGGATCTCATTAATATTTGCTCACATGGTGTGAGAACTGGCCTGTTCATCGCACTCCTTCAATTACTTCCAACTGATTTTAGCCTTTGTTTTAAGGTTTGCTTTCCCTTTCCCTTGAAGTGAGCTGTTGTCTTTGCCAGGGAGAAATCTGCTGGCTTTGGTAGGCTGAACAGTACCGCAGTCCCTTCTCTTTCCTCTCTTCTTACTTTATGCCTTTCAGAAACAAGAGTTGATCTCTATAACTTCTCGTCTGCTTTTTATGATGAATAGCAGTTCTGTGGCCAGTGATCTCAGTTTACTGCCCTTGCACGCTTTCCTGTGTGATGTAAATATTAAAGATCAGTGATTTCAAATGAACCCAGCTTAAACCTGTTAGAACAGACCTGTCCCAAATGAATTGTGAGAATTCATGGGCTCGCTCTGAAAGGAAATAAGTAGAAGATCTCTCCTTGGGTGCTTGGATTGGAGATAAGCTCATTTGAGATTTGATCTCACATCTCTACACTTCCCTCAGAAGAGTGTAAAAATCAGAAACGGAGATGGGATGCTTATTGGACAGAGTGCCAGGCTGCTGGCATTTCCACATGGATACAAGTAAAGCTAAAACCAGAATGGCTTGGATGGCTTCATAATCCACAAAATCAATGCCTTGGCCTTCCCCCAGTTGATGCCTTAGGTTTCATTCTAGGCGAGCTCTCAGAGAGTAGTGAAGTCTACAGAGCTGGCTTACTGTTTCTCCTTGGTCATGATGCCTCTTGTAACCAGCCTGACCTTGCATGATCGCTGGTGTCTGCTGGAAGCTTCTTTATGTCTTTTTTTTAGACAGATTGTCTTTTGCTTGGTAACTGTAGCTTGGATAACTACAAACGAGGACTGGGACTAACATCTCAAGTGAGATGTGAAAGGAGTTCTATGGAGTAGCAGAGTCCTGAAGGGATTGCTGGTGAGTAGAGGTGTGTGGGTCATGGCTAGGCTATGGCAGGCTGGAGGCGCTTTGCCTGAGCTATGGAGAGGTTTGTTAGGAGAGGGACTGGGGGGAAGAACATTAGTAGAGAGTGATGTACGTGTAAAATGTATGTGTAGGGAGCCGATGCACAGACGGACGGGGATCCCAGGCAGGACTTCTGCCACTCTGCCAGGGTGAGCCTCCTGCTCTGCTCACCTACAGTCCGTGCAAAGGTTGAGCCTGAAGCCGTGTGGAGGCTGAATCTCCTCTGTGCTCCACAAGGTGACTTTCTGTGGTACGAGTGAGGAATCTCAGGTGTCATAAGCCCCATGTTCTCCCCTCACAGATGATGATGGTATCTGTTCAAGACAGGGAGAGGTTAGGAACAAAGAACTTAAGGACAAAGATTTTAAAATCTCTTTTCTCAGCCTCTTCTCCTCTCCCCACCCATCTTCTGCGAGAAGAATGGTCTGATTTTCCAACCTGTCTTGCTAATGAAATGAAACAGCTTGAGCCCATGAGTTTGATGCTGTGTTTATACAATTGCTGACAGATCTGCTTGAAGTCCCTTGCCCTCTTTTGTCTGTTGTGTTAATTGTCGTGCTGCAGTGTTGCCATCAGAGGGAGTGCTTCACCGGGAGTTTTTAAGCACTGGATTACATCTGTAGGAAATCTCTTCTGGAGCTTGCTTTTCCATGCTGTCCACCAGTGTGGCATAGACCAAACCACCTACAGGGCTCCACCAGCCTTAGGCTTTTACTGGCAAACGCTGCTGCTTCTGGAACAGCTTTCTGAACTCTGCAAAAAAAAAAAAAAAGCAACCCTTTTTTCAATCAGCCAACAATGAAATACGTATTTTTAACTCTTTTGCTTTTTCCCAAGGATAAAAGTGATTTCCTCTCCATTGCAAATCCTTCAGATTCCTTCCCACTGTCTATAGCTAATAATGAATGCTGAAGTTAAATATCAAGTTAGGGAAAAACATGATTTTTGATGTAGGCCCTGGAAATTGTAGAACAGTTTAGGTTAGAAGGGATCTCAGAAGGTCTCTAGTCCAAGCCCCTGCTCAAAGCAGAGCTGATGTGGTTAGATCAGGGTGGTCTAAAGCCTTGGCCAGGCACATCTTGCAAGCCTCCAAGACTGGAGATCCCACAGGATCAGGTCCCTGCTCCAGTGCTTAACCACTCTTGCTGTGAACAGGCTTTTTCCTTTTATCCGAATAGAATTTCCCTTACTGCAGCTTATGACTGTTGCACCTTGTCCTTTCAGTGTGCGGTTATGAGAAGAGTTTGGCTGTGTCTTCTCATTTACCCCTCCCATTGGGTGGTATAATCCCGCTTTAGGTAGTTGGTCATGAAATTCTGATTGTTTTGGACTGGGGTGAGGGATTTGGGAATAAGTTTCATCTATTTCTTTTGAGTTATTTGGTCATGGGCATTTAAAAGCCAAGTGAATAGCATAGATTTTGGAAGTACACAGGTCAGGAGAAACGGCTCTGGAATCTGTTCTGAGCTCTGCCCTCCCCGTGGTTCTGTGCCTCGGTTTCCCCAGCTGTGAAATGGACTTAGGGGTACCTCTAGAGCTCTCACAGCACGTCTTTTGCTTGGCAAAAGGTTTCCGTTCCCCTGGAAGCAGCAGTATGTAGGAGTGAGTTGTGATCCTGTTCCCAGTGATGCTAAAAGGTGGAAACTTCTGTTGGCATCAAGTTAGCTGAACTTCCTATGTGTGATCCACTGCTTCCCATCTGCACTGTAAAGCTGTAATCTTCCATAGCAGTATATGCAAATATGAGATCATTTACCCATGAAGGTTTAGAGATAACACTGTATTAATTAAAGGCTCAGAGAAAATACCCCCTTTTTTGCCTTCCTCAAGTTCTCCTAAGTTCTTCCTGGTTACAGCCATGATGTAACTATGAACTCTGGTATCTGCTCCTGTAGCATCCTCTCTGCTAATCAGTTACATCTTTTCCACTTCTGTGTGCAACTCCATTCCTCTGTTACTTATTTATTTTCTCTTTTCAGTTCTAATGCTTATGGTTTCTTTTTCCAGTATGACAGACTTAACCTGCTCAAAGTAAGAATATGTTTTTCCTTTTTCTTTCTTTTCCCCTTCCATTATACCCGTCTCTTGATTTTCACAGTTCTCATCCCCCTGTATGCTGACTCTCAGTGAGTTGAAAAAAAAGGTAAATTAAATTGAAGATAGATTTAAGGACTCAGATAGTCTCCCTTCTCTTTGGACCTCCTGTAGTCTGTTCTACCTGCAACACAGGGGTCAGGGAAAGGAATCTCCTCTTGTTTAGGACACTTTGTGGAGGCAGAAGATGAGGCTTGGATGTCAGTGTAATTGTATGGGAAAGCTTAAGATGGAGGAGCCGTAGAGCTCCTTTACAGAGGAGCCATGGTTTGGGGAAATTCGAATATGAGGGGGAAAAAAAAAGTACTGCAATTAATGCAGCAGAGGGGGATGAAACCCTGTTGCAGTGTGCTGGCACCACAACAAGTGCACCCTGATTTAGAAGACGCAGTGACAGCAGTGTCTCTGTTTTCTCCGTGCCAATTATAGTTTGGTTATGATTTTTTTTTCCCCAGGAATTTCTGAGTTACGCCTTTTGCTCATTAAGGCAGACAGATGGCAAAACAAATCTGCAGGAAAATCACTCTATCTTAGACCCTGTGCTCCTGAGGACAAGGTGGTGTGTACATGGATTAAGATTAATTCCCCTGATTCTTTTTTCTTTTTTTTTTTTTTTTAGTATAGGCTGAATTGCATAAGGCCTTTTTCTATGTCCTACTTGCAGCGAAGGATGACTTCAGTCAGACTCTTTATGAATGGAGGGTATGGCCAAGTGTGGAAAAGTGTAGGAAGTAAGAGGAAATTCATCTGGTTAGTTGATGAGCCATACTGTATATTCAGTTCTTCAGTTCATATTCTTTCCCAAAGATTTGGGGAAAGGCCTTAGAGGTGTTGTTCTTTTTACTGTCAAACTTGTGTATTTTGGTCTGTGGCATATACTGTGGTTCTGTGGGTTTTTTCCTTAGACACCAGTGCATGGAAAGTGGCAGAAATGCCCAAGGTTGCAAGGGATCCTGCAGAACTGTTGGCTCCGTGACTGAGATCCAGATGTCAGTGAGGTTGCCTGCTGGAGTGGCATATAGGGAGCACAGCAGACTGAAAGCAGGGAGGTCTAGGGCAAGAACAGTGTAAGCAACCCCATGTTTTCATAAAAATCTCTGGTCCAATCTGATCTCATTAACACTTTGCTCTTACTTTCCGATGGTAAACATCCTGTACGTCGTTGGTCCTGTTGTGGGCTATCCCAGTGCAGGTAGTTTCTGTGTTTCTGTGAATATGAACTTAACTCTGCGAGTGGAACTTCCACAGGCTCTGTTACAAGTTGGAGAACAGTTTTGTTTTCCTTCATATTCCAGACTGGGTATAAAGCTGTGAAAAATACTCCCAGTCCAAGGTCAGAAGCAAGATGACTTCCAAGAAAGAAATGCAGTGAAATATTGCTTCTGTCCGTGTCTATTGGACTCAACTCCCCCAGATGTGTTGTAGACATGCCAGTGCTGGCTGGGAGAGGGGGACGGGCAAGCTGTGTGGTTGCTGACACACAATGTGCCTGGCAATACACACTGTAGCTGACCACTGTTAGTGGTGAAGGGCTACAGTGCCCCCAAGCTTCATTGCCCGGAGGTAAATCCCCCCTAAAATGGGGGATGCCTCTATATTGTCATTTCTGCTCAGCTTCCTGAGATTGGAAAGCCAGCCTGACTGGAGTGGGAGTGTGAAGCTTATTTCTTCCTCTCTCTCTGCAGATAAATCTCACCTCCAGCTGAAAATTGCCAAGTGTGGCTTTCCAAGCTGAGCTAGCTTTTTCATATGCTCCGGTGTGACATGTGGCCTGTCCTCTCAGACCACCTGAAATGCCGTGATAAAGACAAAAAAAATCACATGATGCAAAACACTGTGCACTGACATTCTGAAAAAAACCCCGAAATTCCAGCCTTTTCTTTTTCTTGCTTAGCTTTTCAGGCGATTTTCTTCAGCAGTTTTCCTGGCTCTGTATGTGTCTCCCTTTTAAAATTTAAAATCCTGTTGAAAGTTTTTGCCTGATGGCTTTTGTGAGCAAAATCACGTCCCTCTGGCAGTTCTTGGAGTGCTTACTTGCACAGGGGCCGTTCCATGCAATGTGATTTTTGCAGCCCGGCCAGCAGACGGGGAAGAATGAAGCCTCTAAAGGAATGGCTGGCAGTGGCTCTGAGGGGCTCTCTGTTGCTAGTGGGCGCTGCTGTTCTGCACAAGTGGTGACAGCATGTGCCCGGGAGTTGGTGTGTGCGTGTGTGCGTGCATGGGGACATGCACACGTTATTAGCCTGGATTGTTTCCTATTATGGACTCGTGCTTCTGGATCTGTTCTTTGTTCCTGTAACTGGAAAGAGCTGTGTTAGAGCACACTGCGAAATCCATTGAAATCTTCTGTTTAATCCCACTTTCACTTCACTAATTATACGAAACAGATTGGACCTAGTTTCTTTGTCCGTCTTTCTTTTTGATCCTAAGATCTCTGTGCTAACTAATGCTTCTCTTTTATTTTGTCCTTACAGAAAAGCCAGAGTTGGTATAATGTAAGTACTCCAGTTTCTCTTGTCCCTGGGTGAATACGGGCTGGGTACCTGGGGCGGGGGGGAAGGTGCAAAGGGGCTTTGCGGTGGCACTGGCACATACGTTTCCAAAACGAGGAGATGGAAATGGCTCAGAACTGGTAAAGGAGGACTGACATCCTGAGGGAAAGGATGCCAGAGATAGAGAGCAAAAGCTTTGTCTTTTCACTCTTCTGATGATCTCCACATCCTTTACCTTCCGGTTTCCCAGCAGAGTTGGTCTTGATGTGGTGACAAGCAGAGCTGCCACCGTGCAAACCCTTTGCATCTCTCAGGGTGTTGTGGGGCGAGAGAGGAGTTGTGTTCTGTTGACCTCACGGAAATACAAACCATCTTTTGCTTCTGCCTTGATCTTATTTTCATTCTGCAAGCACGAGTGGCAGTGTTTGTGGTACAAAGCTGGTGGTGTGCAAATTTCCACAATCGGTGTCACCTTTGCACGGTTGAACCCCGGCCCCTCAGGCGCTCTAAAGGAGATACCAGCAGTACCTTGATTTTGTAGGGAAACGGGAGCAGCCATTCCCTGTTCAGCAACAATTCCCTCCTTCCTGCAGCCTGAAAGATTAGAATCGGTGATTTTGGCTGATAAAGTGTGGTCAGGTTTGACAGAGACATGAGACACAGACTTATTTACTTGCTGTATATAGTCAGCACCGGGATAGGAGCAAGGAGGGGAAAAGATGTGATCTCAGAAGCAGAGAGGCAAAGGCATTAAGAATGAAGTAGAAACCACGGTGTGCCAAACTGGTGGAGAAGTGGCAGATAACGGATTGGGGGGGTCAGGCACTTTGGGCAGACTCACAGGCCCAACCAGGCTGCAGCAAAAATGTGACTCTGTGGCCACTGCTAAAGGTGACTTTTGCTATTACACGAGAGCTGCTTCTGACTGTAGCTGCTGAGATCCATCCTCTGCTGCATGATGCTTTGCTGTGGTCTGCTTCTGTGGGTCTCTTGTGTTTTCATGTCCTCTCTATCTTATCTTTCTGTTCTCTTGTTTTTCCTCCATATATTTTCAGCATGAGAGACAGTACATCCGGAGAGTAAGCACTGGCTGCATTTTTTGTGGTTTCCCCCCCTAATTATTTTCCTTTAGAAAACAAAAATCCCCCTGTGTACTAGTTAGTAGAGACATTCTGGCCAGATAAAAGCAGCAATGTGGAAATACGGATAGGCCACAAACTCCAGGAAGGCAGTCAGTCCTACTTGGCAGTATTGCTACCATTAAAAATTTGCTAATGTGTCTTCTTGATATAGTTTCCCTTCTTTGCCGACTCATTCCAGGAAGGATTTTTCTGGCACTTGGTCATTCTGAGTCTTTTATTCCTTTCCCCACTGAGAGCAGCTCTAGAAATGACTCTCTGGAGGCTGCCACCCCTTCATGAAGCCTCACAATTTTCCCTCAATTTTGTTTTACCTCAGCTTCACTATGCTCAGAGCAAACACCCTCCACGTTGTTCTTAGCATCAGTTCAGCAGCCCTGGGTGCCAGGCACTGTACAAACACAAACCAAAAATACAGTCCTTGCTTCAAAGAGCACACAGTCCTCAAACATCCCCAGAGCATCGGTGGTCAGAATACAGGTTTTCTAAGGTGAATTCATTTTTTGCTGCTTTTAACTGGTCTTTTTGTCCTTGTAGTACAGTATCCATCTTTGCCAGTTGGAACCCTTCCTTTTCCCTCTCCTGGATTCCTTTTTCTCTACTTTTTCCTTAAGAAGCTATCAACTTTTCTCACCTTGTATGTTCTCTTTTTGATCCTACCAGTGCTTTTTTGGGATTGAAATCCCTCCCAGATTGAGAAGTGGGAGAAAAGGAGGGAATCAAGGTCATGGATTGGTTTGGCAGGAGACCTGCCCTTTCTTGGTCTTGGTGTGCTCTCTCTGCTTTGCTTTCCAGAAGACAAATACAACCAGGTCCAGGTGCACTGTGAGATTTAGAAAAGAATACTAGTTTGAGAATAAATATCCTAGACCTCATGGGGTTTGCTTTGTGTTCATGTCCTCATGGTGGAAGAGCAGACCATCACTGGGCTGGCTGAGTTCAGTAGCTGCGGAAAGAAAACATCCTTGAGGTGTTTCTTATGCCTTTAGTGAGGAACCACAGACATGGAGGCTCCGGTTTGGAAGAACTGTTATTCTTGCAGAGTAAAACTGTTGGTCAGCTGTGGTTTAGGCTGTGTATGCTTAGCCATCAGGATGCAGTTTGCGTGTCTACTTTGGGCTTTTGTGTCTGCATGTTGAATGATTGTTAATTGATTTATTATTTTAGAAATAACATTTTTTAAATAGACCTAAAACCCCAAATGTTCTCTGTAATTTTGTTTACTGAACCAGGGATGTGACTTACTCTGATGTGCTTAGAGAGGTGGGAAATCTGCGTTTCACATCTGTGATGAGATGAAGGATGAGGTCGCACTGGCTGTGAGGGTGGCAGGAACTCTACAAATTGGTAGAAGGAATTTGTCACCCAGCAGACGTCATTAGAATTAGAGACAAACTGGAGATATATTTTGCTGCCAAAAAGCTGTAAAAGCTTTTCACCTTTGTTCTTCTTCTCTCTGGGCTCCGGGTGCAAGGCCCCATCTCCAAGCATGGAGGAGCTCTTGGTTCTTGTGTCTGGAGATCAGAGATCAGTGTACAGTGGAGGCCCTGAGCCTGGCAAGTCTGCCGTGGTTTTTTTCTGCCTGCTTCTCTCTCAATTGGACTGTTGATCCTTCTTCCCTGACTGTTCCTAAATTAGGCTGTATGTCTCCAATTTTCCATAGCATTTTTAGCTTCCACTCTATAGCAAGGCTCGTTTCTGTAAGTTGCATCCTGTAGTGCCTGTGCTGGTAGATACCAGGCATCAGGAGAATGAGATGATCTTGAAAAGTTAGAGCAAACACAGTTGACAGCGGGGAAGAGGTGAGATTTATATCTGTCCACAAGGTTTTCAGTTTACTATTTAGATGCCAAGGTCTGCCCTACTCTGTACTCCTTTCCTTTGTGTTTACCTACACACATTCCTTTCACCTGCCTTCTCTTTTGCAATCATGCTTGAATTTCTTTCTTCTTATGGTTTCTCCCTGGAAGTGACCTGAACCACCCCCTCTCCACCTAGGTGCAGGATAGCCCCAGAGTGGTTAATGGGGGAAAAAAAATTACAGGGAAAAGACACTAAATGTCTCTTTCAGGTGTTTGTAAATATTACTAGAAACATTTGCTGTCCTAGTAGGTCTGAAAAGATCAACAAGAGGACGGTTCTGCCCACTTGTCTTTGGGAGAGCAAAGTCTGCACTGAGGATTGCACGGAGTGGGACAGGAGCCCTGCACCTGTGGTTCTGCAAACAAAAGCTGCCCACGCAGGGCAGCTCTCAGGCTGGCTTGCAGGAGGTTAAAGTCTCAAAAATAAATCCAGCCAAATAGAAGTAGGTAGCCACGTAAAAGAGAGAGCCCCAGGTTTTCCTTTGGGAAAACTGCGGCAAAAGCCTCTGCACTAGGAAAAAGGAGGTGGCTGAGAGTCCCCAGTGGACTGGGATGCTGTGAAAGGCCTTTCTTTGTGGAGACCTTTGAGCAGTGCTTGCAGCTTCTTAAGAACAATGTCAAGTGATCACAAGACTGAGCGCTATAAGAAATCAGCCTTTCCTGGTCTCGGTGTGCCATCTTTTTTTCTTGCAGTATGCTCTTGGATGCCTTGTAGATACCGGAGTGGAGGGGGAAACTCAGCTGTTGGAAAGAGTACAGTGTTCCCTGTGAAGACAAAGAGAGAGAAATTGTGCATAATTTTAGGGAGAACATCAGAAGCAGCTTTCCCATGAGTGGCAGCCCGAGTCTGATTCAGTAGCAGCAATAATGTAAATGAGGTTTATTGCAAAAATCCAGGCCTGATGATGAGTTAGCAAGGTGCTGAACAAACAGCCTTTTTCTCTGTAAATCAGTGCAATCATTTTTTAACTTCCAGTAACCATTTAATCAAACTATTTCTAGAGCAGTCTCATTCAGGTGTTTTTCATAGGCAGTTCCCCTCAGATTTTCCATAATTTTTGGTGTATGGATTACCAGGCCTGGCACAGTGACTATGCTGTAGAGGCACTCAATTAGAAGTGATCTTTTGGTGCAAGCACATGTAGTGATGAATTCAAATCCACTTTCCACCCCAAATGGCCAGTGATTACTTTGAAGCTTCCTCCTTCTGTTCATTCACTTTTAAAAAGAAAAAAAAAAAAAGAAAGGAATAAAATCTGAGAGACCAGACTGGGTTTTGAAGAAGTGCTATGGGACAGGTGGCCAGTTTCTTTGCTGGCATTAATCAGGATAGCTGTCCTGCTGTCAGTGGGGTCTAAACTCTCCCACACAAGCAGGGAAATGTATTCTGTTCTTTTCCAGTAGTTTCCTGTTCTGTCCAGAAGCAACATAAATCTTCCCTAAAGAGTTAAGAGCGAGTCCATCAGTCATGCAAATCAGATGAGATTTTCCTTCTCTCTTTTCTCTCTGCCTATTACTTTCTCTTCTCTGGTTTCTGTGCCATGTGCTGTACAAGACTATACCTTCCTCAGTTCCTGTGTTGTCAGATTTCCCTGCCCTGTTCCATGCCCCAGCAACAGTTGGTTTAAATTTCCTGTCCGAGGATTTGTTTGTGTATTGACAGGGATATCTTACCGTGGGGAGTCACCCTTTTCTCCCCATTTGCCCCGCTGAGTCTTTTCTCTCCACCCTTTGCAGTGCCATCCTGTCCTGTCTCTCTCTGTTTGCAGTAGAGTTAATGTTTGCTGTCTCCACCTCCAGGTTAGCTCTTCCGATGGCTTGTGCCATTCATCTCTGCGAAGGGAGGTGGGTGGCTGTGTAGACAGAAGCATCCTGGTGGGGGTTTTTTGGAAGTAATCCCATAGGCAGTTTCCAGCAAATAGGGTCATTCAGTAAAGCAATGCAGGTACTTCACAGATGTCTGTAATCCTAATTCTTTGTCCTTCCCAGGCTACAGAATTTTGTTTATTGTCCCCTCAGTCTTTATTGTCCCATACAGATGGATGTACTGCTTTCTTCTAACAGGGCTGAACGCAGAGACCTGTGTGCCATCTAGTACCAGCAAGGCTTTTGTGGTCCATCTGAGCAGAAAGAGAGCTTGTCTTCTCTTCCTGTCAGTGGGCAAATTGAAGTCACTGGCCCTGGAATGAAACAGCGGCTTTGCAGAGGCTTTGTTGCTCACTTGGGGTTTTGTTTTGTTTTGTTTTTTTTGAGATCCATGTGCCCAGTTTGTAAAGGAAGAATGAGGATTTTACTCCAGTATACGTGATTCCCCCCTCAGCACCATGGCTGAGCAGCGCTGGTGTCCTGGTGTGGGGTTTACCTGTGCATTTCTGCACTTGAGCAGAGAGCTGGGCACTCAGGGCAGAGGGATACAGGGATACAGGGAGTTCCAGCGCTCCAAGCCATCTTCCTGGGACCTGCAGGGACTTCATTTGCTGGAGCCTTCCTTTCCAAATGTCATTCATTTCTAATGAACGACACCTAGAAAGACCTATGCTTTTTGGGCTCAGAGATTGAAGGAAGCCCTTGCTCTTCCTTTCCAACTGTCATTCATTTCTAATGAACGACACCTAGAAAGACCTATGCTTTTTGGGCTCAGAGATACATAGAGGAGCAGGCAGAACCCTTGAGATTTCTAACTGTGTGGGTCTCACATGGCTGGTTTCTCACAGCTATATGCCTCAGACTGGTCTCTCCTTACTCCCCTTGTGCCTCTCCCAGCACACTCTGTCCAGCAACTTTCCATTACAGGAAACATCTGCTGGGAGGCAGGGCTGAGCCTGGGTTACTGCAGGGCATTGGCCGACAGAATTACCCAGCTACAGTAACTTAAAGCATGTGCGAGTCAGTTTGGTATCTTCCCCACCCGCTCCTTCCACCAGAAACCTTAACAAAGACTGAAGCTGCCTTTCAGAGCAGAGAGGGACTGGAGAGGAGAGCCCGAGGCAGGCACTGAAGGAATAAGAATAACTGCTTTTCTGGTTTCAAAAGGGGAGGAAAAAAAAAAGCGGCTGAAGTCTCTGAACTGTTTATCGTCCTGTTCGGTCCTGGAAGCTGCGGGCAGATCTGTGAATTGCAGCTGGCCCGCTGGGGGCCTGGCGGTCACAGCGCTTTCGGTGGCTCTCTCTGGCCGTCCTGGGCAGCGGGCTCCGGTCGGGAGGTGCAGATGCCTGGCACGGACCAGCCCGGGACTGCTCAGGCTGTCAGCACTCCTGCAGTGCTGCTTTAAGAGATGCCCACAGCAAGAAGCCGGTGAGACTGGAGCAGAAGAGCACGAAGGTTGCCCACCAGCCCGCTTACCCTAATGAGCCACTTTTTCAAAGTTCTCTGGAGGGCAAATCCTCTCTCAGATCTACAGAGGCTGCTAGGGCAGATGACCTGAATGTGAGCAGGAAAATAGGGGAAGGCACCTAAACTCCTGCCAAGCTGCTGTATCTCTTTCGACTTTGAATCTAAACAAGAAGCGGTGACAGCAGGAACAGGAAAAGCAGAGTTTGAGGACACGGGGAGCTGTGCAAGTGCTGAGGGAACGCTATGGATTCCTTGCTGGAGTGCGGGGCTCTGTGGGATCTCGTGCTGGATCAAGAGCTGCCTTGTCTGCTGTGGGACCTGGAGGGGCTTGTCGACTTATCGCAAGACAGTGTCAGCCCTGGATCAGATGAAATTCCAGCTGTGAGTGTCTCTAAACTGAGCCGTTTGTCACTGTAACAGAAGTTGTGGTGCTAAGCAGAAGTGGCTGTTGTAGGACAGGCTTTAGACAGGTCAGAACATCCCTTACTGCGGGGAAGGGAGGGGAGTGCCCCTCCGCATGGAGACTGTACTGCTAAGTTGGGTTGCTTTAATGCATTGAACCCAAAGCTCAGAGCTGATTACAATCTCCCTTCTCCCCTCCTTTCCCATCTTGTCTGCTTGTCCCAGGAAATCTTGGGTTTGGGCTCTTGCTGGAGCCCATCTCTGACCCAGATCTTTTCCAGATGTTCAGGCTAGAAGTTTGGTGAGTAAAATTCATATTTCTGTCATCTGCTGGTTAGCAGATTTTACTCAAAAGTAAGATACTTTCCTTTAGGCCCACAGGACTGGAGCAAATACTTGAAGTGCTGAGCTGCTGTTAAAAAATACTATTTCTAGTTCATTGAATTGGTGTGAGGAAGAGGGAATGCTTTTGGGGGTGGGGTTTGCCTGTGTTTCCTTCTTTGATTTGACAGCATTTGCAATTTTGTAAGGCTAATGCTAAATAAACTTCCTTATTTCCTCCCTCCCCCGTGACCCCACCAATGCCATTCTCAAACAGAAGGTATTCTGATCTTTTGAGGTCCTTGGTGGGAGGCTCTGAGTTGTGCCCATCTTTACACTTTGGGAGATTTGTGTCGTGCACTTTGATGAGATAGGAGAGGGTTGTTGAGAGGAAATGGAGATAGTGAAGGAAGAGGTTGTAGCCCAGGTTGCTTCACCTTCTCTACATTTGTGGGAGAAAGAACGTGATAGATTAGATGGGAGATACAGGCCTCCTGAATTTGCACCTGCCTTTATTTCAGTCAACTTTGCCTTCAAAAGGTGTTTTGGCTCTTATGAGCAGCTCTCAGCGTGGGCATAGTATGTTGGAGGCGATGTGACGTGGACAGAGTCATGTTAGAGTTTAGTAACCACCAGAGAGGAGGCAGCTCCTGGTCTCCCTCCTGTCAACAGCACCCTTTTCTCTGACGCCTTCCACGAGGCTAAGTGTCTGCAGAATAAGCATAAAACACAGTTGAGTCTCTGCGAGGGCCTCTTTCAGCCACAAAAGTGTACTCACTACGCCAGGGGCTGGTTGTGTGTTCACTGGCTGCCAGGTGGAGCACTTGATGGAGAGAGGAACGGGGCTGACTGCATTAGTCCTGGGCTTTTGATGGCAACGATCGTTCAGGTTCCTCTGGCAGGGCTGCAGCTGTACTCAAGCATCTATTTTCTGGGGTTGCTGCGCTGTTCCTGGGAGAGCTGGGGATTGGTGGCAAACTGATGCATTGCGAACAGAGCATGTGTCATACCTTGTGCAGTCTGGGATTGCAGGAAAAGAGACTTCTCCTGCAGCCACAGCTTCTGTGCAGTTCTGGTTTGCCACCTAGCAGATGTGGGTATGGCCCTTCTACTCTGCACTTGCTCTTCCAAGTCAGGTTCTCCTCTTCTCACATAATGCACTAAATCCCAAATCCTCCCGTCTGTGTGTCCGCTGTGATGGGAGCTCCTAGCCTCATGCTTTGTAAGTGCATCTGCTCCCCCTTCTCCTTACCAAGGTGTTCCTGTTTTCCCACTCCGTTTCTCTGTAACTCATGCCTGCCCCTCTCTTTAACAGGCGCTCTGTTATTTGCAGGTGTTGAGTCCAACATACAAACAACGGAATGAAGATTTCAGAAAACTCTTCAAACAGCTTCCTGACACGGAGCGCCTCATCGTAGGTAAGGTCAGCCCCTTGGTGCAGCGCTCTGTGGCGCTGGCCCTTGGTTTGGGGACGGAAATGCAGCACCCGTGCGTGCAGCTTTTTCTTCAAAGAGATTGTGCCACCAAGGGACAAGCCCGTTGTGTCTTTCTTGGGCACACATGGAACCCCTCCTCACCTTTTCCGTTGGGTTTCATTCATTTTGCTTCAGGGAGAGCAACGGTGACTTCTATCAGTTATGGCTCCGTTTCCTCGTGATTTCAGGAGCATGTTTTCCTCCACAGTGCTCCCCCAGACCTGACAGTGTGTTAGTGTGTGAGCTCTTTCCTCATTTGGCCAGGATTGCATGTCTCAACGTGCATCCTACTGAGCTTCCCTTTTTTCCTAACATCCCTGATGCTCCCTGCTCACACATGACTGCCCTTCTTGTACCCATTTGGGCTTTGGCCTTGCAGCGACTGCCTGGTGCATTGCATCTGCTCTTTTATCTTATGTAACTGGTGATCTCATACCGTGTCTGAGTGTTGAAAGATGCACAGCCTGGCGGAGGAATAGAAATTGTTTAGGGTGCTTAAACCGGGAGAGAAATGAACAGTGGCACTAGAAGGTGAAAAGGAAAAGACAGATTAAAATCTGGAAATAGTACATAGGATGCTACAGAATGACCAGATAATGAGGAAAGATCATCAGTCAGTAAGAGAGATGGTCCGTGACATGCCCTTGGGCAGGAATCATAACCTGGTGGACAGAGCAGGAGCTGTGGCTCAGTTAGTTCTGGCTCTGCCTTTGACTTTCTCCAGGTTTGTGTCAAGTAGCTTCTTCTCTTGATGCCGCTCCTTATCCTCACCTTTAGGCTGTCCTGTCTTCTGGTTTTGGTGCTCCTAAATTATCATCTGTTGTCCTCCCACAGATTACTCATGTGCGCTACAAAGAGACATTCTCCTGCAGGGCCGCCTCTACCTCTCTGAAAACTGGATCTGCTTTTACAGCAACATCTTCCGTTGGGAGACACTGGTAAGGCTGTCAGACTGCCGCATTGAGCATGCCTTTTATGTCAGCTTATTTGCTGACTTGGCTTTAAAAGCGCTCTTTCCAAGGTCTTTCTCATCAGTGTCTCTCTTTACCTGTGTTATTTTTTCTGCCTTCCCCTTTCTGCATGGCTCTGACTGTAGCTGACAGTTCGCTTGAAGGATATCTGCTCGATGACCAAGGAAAAAACAGCACGGCTCATTCCTAATGCCATCCAAGTTTGCACTGACACTGAAAAGGTACATCCTTGAAGCCTCCACCTCTGGGGCCACCCTTAGGGCTGTCAGGGGCCGGGGAATATAAGGGTGTTGCGGGGTTTTTCCACACTGACTGCTTGTGCTACCTGGGGCTTGGGAGGAAGCACCAAGGGAAGAGGGCTGGGTGCGGAGCTTCTGCAGACCTTGGGCTGAGTCTGGAGCACACGTAGCTTGTGTGTGGGGCTGAGTAGGAGATCTGGGTTATGGTAACATATCTCTAATGGAACTTTTCTGTGCTCAGACTCACTTCTGTGGGTGAGAGGCTCTCAGCCTCTCTGGGAGGCCTCCATGGGCTTCAGTCTGTGCCCAAGAAGTGAGCTGTGCTGTGTGGCGTGCTCAGTCCTTCTGTGAACGGTAGCTGGAAAGTGATCCAAAGAGGCTTGTCTTCTTTTTCCCTTTTTGGGCCTTTTCTGAACTAATTTTTTCTCTCTATCTCTTCCCATTCAGCACTTTTTTACTTCCTTTGGGGCTCGAGACAGGACGTACATGATGATGTTCAGACTCTGGCAGAACGCTCTCCTTGACAAGGTAAGAGTTGGGGGTGGGATGAAAGGGAGGTGATGAATCTATGCAGAAGCATAATACCTGTGCCTAACAAATATGCATAAAAAGACCTGGGGACAGTAAGTGCAGGTGTTTAGGCAGAGCAAGTACATAACTGCAGGTTCAATTCCCTTTTTTTGCCTGGAATTCTATGTACGGGCATGTCTCGCACACACAGTAGATGCCACTTTGCCTCTGCTGAGGTGTTGAAGCGTGTGCCTCAGGGAGGAGTTTTTTTGAGGTCTGTAATTCAAGTGAAACCAGCCCAGAAGAAGGCAGTTCAAAACGCAACAGAAATAGCTCACTGAACAGGCAAAGCCCTTAGTAGGTCTGTGCTTCAGAAGTGTAGAGTTCAAGATAAAACAGAAAAAGAGCATGTGTTCAGGGCATCCCAAAACCAGATAAGAGCAATGGTAGGAGTGGGGTGCACTGGGCAAGGGCTCAGTGGGTTGGATTTTAAAATAAAGCCAGGATGTGCACCTGCTGTGCCAGAGGCTCCGTATGTGCTATATTTGATCATCTGAGTATCTGTTCTGCAGTCCATTGAGTATTTCTGGCCTCGCAGCAGGAGTAAGACTCATGAACTGATGTTACCGTGCTACTGGCGTTGCGAGATGTTCCGGCTTCAGTTCGTACCATACTTGGAAGGCTTAAGTAATCAAGCACCCAGAATACCCTGTCCTGAAAATCGGGGTAGTATTTAGTATGCAAAAGGATCGCTTTGCATTGGGCAGCTTGTGTTGCTACCCTATGCTGTAATTTGATCAACCTTTTGAAGCTCCTAACAAAATTCAGTGCCCTTGGTTTCAAGGTCAAAGCAAACAGGGACTGAGATGTGGAGTGACAGAGACAAACTCTTCCAGAGCTTTTTCCAAGTGTATGATCCGTGCCTGGCAGGAGAGAGGGAGAAAGAACCTACTCCATTTTTCCTGCTGAGATGTGTGAATTAGAAGTGGATGTGGGAAGAAGGTGAAACAGACGTTTTTCTTAGATTTCTCATTAGATTTTTTCCCCATGCTTTTGGTTGCTGCTTTTGGGAGCTAGATTAAAAATTTCCTGCCTTATTCCATGCAGTAGCTATGGGAAGAAGCTCAAAGCAGCAACTCAGAAAAAGTTCACTAGATTTGTTTTCCCTCATTACCAAGAAATCTTTGTCATTGGTCATAAATTTCTCATGGGTAAAAATTCATCCCCTTTGATCCTCCACATATTTAAATCACAAGTTCTCCTGCCCCATTTCTTAAGAACCTCAGAACACAGTCATATGGTGATCAACTGACCCGTGTTCCTGAAAAATTGAGCTTTTTTATGAATGATCTTGATAATTCATTTTCTGTTATTAGCTGGAAGTATATACAAGCTTTTCACAATAGTATTTGGTGAGACAAACTCTTTTGGATTTTAAACTACAACAGGAAATGTTATTCTTTGTTGCTATTTTAGATAGTTTTCCCTGCAGCTGTAATTCTTTAGGCAGCTTTAATTTAAACAAACTTGGAGGGGAAAAAACCTCATAAGGCGTTGGGGTTTGGTGTAGTAGGAGGCATTAAATGGAGACACAACAGGAGAGGCAGGGAAAATACATGGGGAGGGAAATGCAGGGTTACTGCTTACATGATTACTCTCACTTCTCCTTTCAGGGCAAGGAATATAATAGTCCTGACAAGGTAGTTCCAAAAATTCATTACATCTCAGTATTCTCAGTGCTGTTCTCTGTTCCTTCTTTTAGCCTCTCTGTCCAAAGGAGCTCTGGCACTTTGTCCACCAGTGTTACGGGAACGAGCTGGGTCTGACCAGTGATGATGAAGACTATGTGCCTCCTGATGATGACTTCAACACAATGGGGTGAGTGAGGAAGGGGTAAAATCTGCCTGTGATGAAGAAAAGATGGCCTCAGGAGAGCAGGAGTCCTGATATATTACGTACCTCACACCTCAAACTGGTGATTGTCCGTGGTGAGAGATCCTGGGTTCTGGTCAAATGTTTGCCTTTCAGTTTGTAATGTCTAAAAAGCTGAAAGCATGGCATTTCCTCCTGGAAGTCGGTAGGAACTGAAATTCCTGCCTCTCTACTTGCTGAGCTAGATGAGCCAGCCATCTGTAAATGCCAAAGCATCCCAACCACAGCATGCTACACGGTCAGAAGGGGCTGATGCTTGTCGGTCTTGGAAAGTTTGGGCATGATCCTCCCTGTACTGAGCCATTTCTGCTTCCGGTCAGACTGGAAACTTCATAGAAGTATTCTTACTTGCTCTGTGTGTCCAGTTGTAGCTGTACTGAGAGGGGTAAATATAAAAACCTGTGTTCTCTGTGGCGTCTCAGCTACTGTGAAGAAATCCCCGTGGAAGAGAATGAAGTCAACGACAGCTCCTCCAAAAGCAGCATGGAGGCCAAGCCAGAAGCTAGCCCTCAGCTGCCAAAGAAATCTGTCACTGCCAGCACACTGACATCTACGGGAAGCAGTGAAGCGCCAGCCTCGGTGAGTGTTCTTCCTCCCCTGCACTGGGAGCCCTAATCCTTTTCTCTGGGACCCCTTAAATGTACGAGGTAACTGTTTGCCCTGCAGCTGGCCAGAGACCTCCAATCCGTGACATCTGTCAGCATGGCATTTGCCCAAGAAAAAGTGAGCAAAGCCAGGAAACCGGGACTCTCAGCAGTAACAGCATTTTCCTTTCTGTACTTTTAGATGAAAAGAAATGGAGTGCTGGAGATAAAAAGGTCATAATTTCTTCTCTTCCTTCAGTTATTCTCTAGGAAACGGTGTGTGCCCTCACAGTGTTACGTCAGAGCAGACCTTGTTTAGATATAACCGCAGATCTTCTGAGCTGCACTGGGCTTGTTCAGGGGCAAACCCAGAATTGTTTGTGTTCTTGTCTGAACAAACACAAAGCCTTGTGTATGTCCCAAGCTTGAACTGTTCTTTGAGAGGAAGTGATCTAACGTGTCCATGTGTTTTACAAACACCATAGGGTAACCTTCCTCCTCTCTGTATTATTTGATTTCCAGACATGTCGAGGCCAGATGTTCAAAGGTATGAAAATTGGCCCACAGATGTAAAGTTTTCAGAAATAACCCCCAATTTCCAGGTGCTGATCTTGTCCTCATTATCCTCTCTCTGTGCTGCAGTTTGATGGAGTGCTACCAGAAGAGGAGGAGGCAGTGGCAGAGAGTCCTGTGGAAAAAGACATTGGCATTGCAAATATCATGGGAGAGAAGATAGAGATCATTGGCCCCGTGAACTCCCCTTCCCTAGACTTCAATGACAACGAAGACATTCCCACTGAGCTCAGTGACTCCTCAGAGACCCATGATGAAGGTATGCGGGGAAGGGCCATGCCATCAGTCTTTCTCCTGTCTTTCTAGTGAAGGACTGGAGTGGCAAATATTGAATTCCTTTTCTGGACCTTAAGAGTTCAGAAAATGCAAAGAATTCCCATCCCGGGCTGCAGGAGGTGGACTATTTGGAAGGATGTCCTTAAAATAACCCATGTAGTTAATTACTGCTTGTGACGTTCCAACTATTGTCCTGGGATGAGTGGAGGAAAAGGGTTAGAAGTACATCCTTTGGGTTCCTTCTTCAGAGGGTAGAACACTAAGGTGCCTGGTACTGTGAAAGCACAGCCTCTGATGTTGGCACGGAGGGTGATGGCTGGGGCTTGTGGGCTTGTTTCCCCACAGGGGAAGTCCAAGCCTTTTATGAGGATCTGAACGGCCGTCAGTACGTGAATGAAGTGTTCAACTTCAGCGTGGACAAACTGTATGACTTGCTCTTCACGGACTCCCAGTTCCAGAGGGACTTCATGGAACAGCGCCGGTTCTCTGGTAAGCTGCTGGAGCCCGGTCACTGATGGAGGCTGCGTTTCCTGCGGGGTGGAGAGGCCTCTCCAGAAGGAAGGTCTTTCACTGAATTTCACTGAATTTCTAGAGTTGGAAGGGACCATAGAGATCATCTAGTCCAACCCCCCTGCTGAAGCAGGATTGCCTAGAGCTAGAGCATGTTACTCAGGAGCATCCAGGCGGGTCTTGAAAATCTCCAGAGAAGGGGACTCCATGACCTCCCTGGGCAGCCTGTTCCAGGGTTCCGTCACCCTCACTGTGAAGAAGTTTCTCCTCATATTTGAGTGGAACCCTTTATGTTCCAACTTGTGCCCGTTGCCCCTCGTCCTCTCAGTGGGAACCACTGAAAAGAGTCTGGCTCCCTTGGTCTAGAAGGTCTTGGCACATGCCTTGAAGGTGTAACTTTGCCTGGCACTGTGAAGAAGTTTCTCCTCATATTTGAGTGGAACCCTTTATGTTCCAACTTGTGCCCGTTGCCCCTCGTCCTCTCAGTGGGAACCACTGAAAAGAGTCTGGCTCCCTTGGTCTGGCTGGTCTTGGCACATGCCTTGAAGGTGTAACTTTGCCTGGTGACAGAGGGACTGGGTAATATTCTGATTAGATGTTGGGACAGCTGTAGTCTGTACTGATGACAGTAATCAAAAGCAGGTAGAACCACCCTTGTTTGGCTATCTAGTTTTATTTTCCAAGAGCCGGATCTAAGTTTGTGGAAGAAGCAGATGTTTATTTTTTAACATCAGTTAAGGCCTGATCCTGTGTTCAAGGCTTAACAGTGTGAGGAAAAGCTCTTCCAGCTTCACACTAGACACTGGCATGGACTGTGCAGTGGATGATGCAAAGAGAGAGTCCCTTGGCATGCTGTATCCTCCTGACCCTGTAGGTTTGCTGAAGGAGATGTGTCCCCAGCCTCTCCCCTTTTCCTTGCACTTCTAAGAGAGGAAAATACATTTAGTACAAGAGACCTTTCTTTTGCATTTGGTTGAGCTCTAGTGCTTCTGCAGCCAAGCTCTCCAAGGGGAAGGAAATACTGTCCTGAGCTTGATTATACAGTTATGCCTTTCCCGAGGGAACTGAACCGAGGTCCCTCTCCAATTACTTGAATGGAATATTGTTTTGTCCTCTCAGATATTATCTTTCATCCCTGGAAGAAGGAAGAAAATGGCAATCAGACCAGAGTGATCTTGTATACCATTACCCTCACCAACCCTCTGGCCCCCAAAACTGCCACTGTCACTGAGACACAGGTATGTGAAAGGGGAGCAGGGGTGTAATGCTTTGGAGAAAACAGATCTGTGATTTATTTTCTGGTCTTAGGCATGCTGCTTTGCGTAGTCTCATTCTCCCTATCCATTTCTTTTTACACATTTTTCTTGTATTAACTTGCTACCCAGTGTTGCTGCAAATATGAATAGCTAATCCAGGCTTTTATATTACTGGTGAGGACAATTAGCTGACCTTTTTAAAAAGGGGAGCATCTGCAACACCCGGAGGGGCCAGGCCAGCTATATTTAGTAGGGCCTGCAGCTAGAGAGGGAGGAAAAGTCTCCTTTGATGTCCAGAGATATGTTTAAGTGGCCAAAGCTAAATGCTGAGTTAGCTCAAGGGGATACTAAGAGGGAGCCAAGGAGAGATGGGGCCCTGAGCATTACATTTCAGGGAGAGGAGAATCCCAGCATCAAGGTGTGCCCTGCAAGGATGGGATGAAGCGTGCTGTTCGGAAGCAAAGACTGGGTACAGGGAAGACTAAAGAAAGACAAGGGGAGAGCAAAGTGATGGGCAAAGGGACCAGTACACTTTCAGGCAAGCAAGGACGTGGCCTATTTTACTCTGAATTTAGGGTCAAACCACCGAGACACACTCTGCTGTGTCCTCGCTGCAGAGGTAAGTGGAAATAGTCTGGGAGAGAAGCCATGCTTTTGCATTTGGATCTGCAGTTCACTGTGTCTGTCCCCTTTGTGAAGTTTGTTCTGGGGCAACGAAAGAACCAGATCAGAAGCCCTTAGAAGAAGTAATTTACATGTTCTTATAGTGGTTAGAATCACAGAATAATTTACACCAGAAAGGACCTCTGATCAAAACAGGGCCACCTCTGATTTTAGGTCAGGTTGCTCCCTGAGAGGCCAGATGTCAGCTTAATGAGAAGAGGTGACACTTGCAAAGGTCCCAAAGAACTGGCCCTCACGTGGCAGTGTGTGTAACTCTGACAGAAAATACTGGAGGTTTGAGCTGCTGGAACGGAATGCCCCTTTTGAAATATGCCCCTGGGAGACATCTGAGTGAAACCCTTGGTTTCCTTGAGTGGGCCCTCCCTTAAATGAGAGCCGTACACAGAAGAATTGCAGAGATGGGGCTTGGGCGTGGGTGTGTCTCTTCTCCAGGGGTAAAGTCTAGTAAAGGTGCCAGTCTATCAAAGCCATGTTCTAACCAGACTAATAGTTGCCTTGCATGCTGTCTTTTATGCAGACAATGTACAAAGCCAGCCAAGAAAGCGAGTGCTATGTCATAGATGCAGAGGTGCTAACTCACGACGTCCCCTACCATGATTATTTCTACACCATTAACCGCTACACGTTGACTCGTGTTGCCAGAAACAAAAGCCGACTCAGGTACACTTCTTGTGGGATAAAGAGCTTTACTGACGACCAAAAGTCACCTTGGGGTGGGAGTTGTGCTCTTTGGTGTGGTAGAAGGGTTTGGGGAGAACTTAGCCTTGTTTCTGTGTCCTGTTTCTGGAACCCTCCTATCACAAAGAGTTACCGTAGGGGCTACTGCCTGCTGTGGTGGCATCGAGCAAACACTAGATCTGATGCAGAGCACTTACAGCTGAGTCAGGGAGAGGATTTACAGACTTTTCTTGCCCCCATATTGACAGCAGTGGTTTGCAGGGCCAGTTGTCGCACACAGGACGTACTTTCCGGGACTGTGCCTCTGAGAGGCACTGGAGGGACAAGCAGAGGAATTTGGTACCAGGCAAAGCCATAGGCTTTTGTGTTTGACTCTATAAGTAAGCTAAATGTCTGCCTGCCACGTGGCTGAAGGTCTCGGGAGTCCTCTCAGGGGAAGCTCTCTTGAGGCCTTCCTGCCACTGCCTTGGGAAGGACTTTTCATGCAGTGCTTCTCCTCGAGAGACGCAAAGGGCTGAGACCATTCCAGAAATAACAGTGTGCATGATTACTTCTCATATTTACAGTGATTAGGATTGTGAATTGACATCACCTTCAGGAAGCAAAACTGGGAGAATGACTTTCCTTTCTTCACATAGGGTTTCCACAGAGCTACGATACAGGAAACAGCCTTGGGGGCTGGTGAAATCCTTCATTGAGAAGAATTTTTGGAGCGGGCTAGAAGATTATTTCCGACATTTGGGTAAGAGTGGCAGTGGCTGGATCTGCAGCAGTGACCCACAGTCAGTGGCACCTTCCATACTTTATGCACGTCTCCCTGCAGGAGGGCATCCCTCTGCCAGCCTACTGGGGCTCAGACCTCGGAGCAGCTTATGGAAGGGGCCAAGCAAAGTTATTACCATGGTGTTGGTAGCACTTGAATTAATCGGGTCATCAAATCCTGCTCTCTGGCAGGAGCGCAGGCAGCCTGGGGGCAGTGTTTGGCAGAAGGTGTAAGGGATGTGGAGCGTGTCCTCTGGTATGGGCCTCTTGGACCCTGCCAGCTTGTTTGGTGCGGCACCCGTGCCGTCAGAGGGCCTGACTCTGTATCTCTGCGAGGCCAGTGCCACTTGCATTAAGTGCTTTCCCTCGCCATCTCTGCAGAGAGTGAACTGACCAAAACGGAGAGCACGTACCTGGCTGAGGTCCACAGACAATCCCCCAAAGAGAAAGTGAGCAAGCAATCGACCGTGCGCCGGAGGAAACGGGCCCATGCCCACCTGCGGGTGCCGCACTTGGAGGAGGTGCTGAGTCCCGTCACCACCCCCACGGATGAGGAGGTTGCGCATCGAATCAAGCATGTGGCAGGTGAGGAACTGCAGACCCCTCACGCCTGGGGACGGAGAGCCGGGTGCTCCTGGTGAAAAACTGGAGCTTTGTTCAGGGAGGGTTAATGGGAAGAGGGGCCAGGGCTTCCCAGGGCAGGGAGGATGTATTATGGTTGAGTGAGGGGGAGGGGTGGGTAGAGGGATGAGGGTTGCCCTCCCCACAGGACAGCACTTCCCACTCTAAACACATCGTTCTCCTCAGGTTCCACTCAGACACGGCACATCCCTGAGGAGAGCCCCAGTGGCTTCCACCTGCAGAGTGTCTCTAAGCTGCTCCTTGTCATCAGTTTTGTGTAAGTGCTTTTTTTTGCTTTCCTTCACAGTCAGCTTTTAACGACATTTGATTCTTTCCTGTTTCTGATGTTCTGTGCTCCCTCATGCCAGTTTTTTTCTCTCATATATTCCTCTCTGGTCCCAAACTTTGTGCAACACGGAGGAGAGAAAAGCAACGACAGGCAGAAAAGAACGAACTAAAATTTCCCCCAAATGCCCCATCAACTGTTTTGTCTGCCTTGATCCCACCCTTTGCCAGTACTTGTCTGGCCACTTAGCTGACTCTGTAGGTTCTGGATCTTATTTTATCAAAGTTCTCTCCTTTCCCCTCAATTTTGACCTTGTTTTAACCAAACACGGCTTTCATAGACCTGGGAGTCCTAAATTCAGGCCAGCTCTGCTGTCTGAGGCACAGGCAACGTTGATAGTGGCGCGCAGGGCGAGGGGCAGCTGTGCAAGAAGAGGGTAGTCAATAGTTAAAAAGAGAAGAAATCCAACAAGTAGAATCTTTTTTATTTCAGGGACTCAGTTAAGAGATTTTCAGTAACATCTTGAAACTGTGGGGTTTTTTATTTATTTCAAGTAAGTCGTTTAATGGGATCTGCTGACAAACTAGCTGTTATCATGAAAGGTGACCATCCAAAGCTGTCTGGGAGTTACTGGGCTATCCCAACGGGGCTCAGGGTATGTGAGGAGTCTTGTCTGTTACTTCTTTCCTCTGGTCTGGGAAAACCTATTCAGGGCTGGGTCCTGGGCAGTGATTTTGACAAGAGATACCATCTCAGAAAGAAGCTGGACCACTTAGAGATGATTTCTACAAAATAAGGGTAGAAACACATGAAGCAAGAGAGATTGGCATGAATTTCACCAGTTCAGCAGCAAGAACTACGTTTGGTTTGGGTCCCTTTTCTGCTCTCAGCTGTCAGTCCAGGGCTTGGCTGGCTGGATGTGTGCCCACAGGGAGCTGGGCACCGGCCCCTCCTGTCCCTGTGCCTCACTCCTTGTGCCTAAACCCAGGTGTATTCACTGTTTCTGTGGGGCTGACAGGAGCTTTCCTGTGTTAGAGCTGCAGTGGTTGCTGGGCAGGGCTGGGAAGCTGTATGGTCTGTAGGAGCGATCCCAACAGGACAGGTTTTCTCATCGCTTAGGGAAGGGAAACACACTTAACCCCAGAGAAACAGCAGAACTTGGGCTCATTCTTTTCTTTAACTCAATCCACCTTTCAGCGAGGTGGGAAGAACCTGAGATTTGCAGGCTGAGGTTACTTTTAAAATTGAGCTCCTTTCTGCATTTCCTTTTCCTGGGGCTGGGGGGGTGGATATGAAGACTGCAGGGGTTTGCAGCAGCAACCCAGCTGGTTGCTGGAATGATAAGCAAGGTAATGTCACGATGAGAAGATAGCCTTGTGCCATCTTCTGTGTCTAAACTTTGGCTAGGAAGGCACAAACCTTTATAACAGTCTTTCCTGCCAGGCCACTAGCTTAGCTTAGAGTGGTCAGAGAGCCCTCCAGAATGTTTCCAGAACAGTCTTCTGGCCGGTGGCCATCCGCCTGACTGAAATGGGTGATAGTGGGCCATTCTTCCAGCAAAATAGCTGCACTATTCAGAGCCAGGCACAAGCATGTCATTTTGGAATCTGTTCCCTGCGTGTGGCTGCCGGGAGGAGCGGCAGTGCCCATGCGTGGCGGCGGTGGGGTGAGAGGAGAGGAACGGTGTCCGGTCCAAGCGCTGGTGTGTTCCCGTGGCCGGAGCTGGTGCCCGCAGGCTGCGACCTGTGCTTACGTGTCAGACAGTGCCCTGCAGGGGGGAGCTCTGGGCTTGTCTGCCAGAGCTACACACAGCTCACCTTCTGCCCAGCGAGTCTCACCATCAGTCACATGCACACGGTTATTTGTCTGTCCTTCCCGCCTCTCTTCCCACTGTTCTTTCTTCCCTCCTCCCCGCCCCATAGATCTTCTGCGCTGTCTATGAGCCTTCTCCGCTCAGCCCAGTTTCTCCTGTTCTGTGTCAGTCTGTTTCTAACCTGCAGCTCCTCCGTCTTTTCTCTTCCCTGCTCCCATTAGGATCTGTTTCAGGTACTGTCTCTCTCTTTTTTTACCTCTTTACCCTCCCCTTTCCCTCCCTTTCTCTGCATTCGGCTCATCCGCTCACCCAGCCTGTTCTGTCTGATCCGTCAGCCCTGTCTTTCTCTCTGTCCATCCTTCTTGCTCACACATTTCTCCCACAAGGTGAAATTTTGGGTTGTGATCACCTGGCCCTTGCTCAGATTAAGTCCCCACTCACGTACAGCGTGGACCTGGGCCCCAGACACCACCTTAAAGCCCTGGGTATTATTTTCCCAGGTGTGACTGGCCGGCAGAGGGCTACGAACTGCTCCTACTAACCTGAGTGTCTTCTTTCTTTCCAGTCTGGTGCTGCTGGTCATTCTTAATATGATGCTGTTCTACAAACTCTGGATGTTGGAATACACCACGCAGACGCTCACAGCATGGCAGGGCTTGCGGCTACAGGAAAGGTACTCGCACACCTGCTTTGTCTTTCCTTATTTTTATATGATTCTATGGATGTTAGAGGCTTTCCCGGAACAGCCAAGCTCCGGGCTCTCTTGCAGATTGCTTCCTTCGTAGAAATTGGTATAAATTAGATGAAGCAGGTAGTTAAGGTGAATTTGTGGGGCCATCAGCCTTTCCAGATCTGAAGCTGCTGAACCGTTAAGGCAGCCTCTGCTTCTTCCCAGTGCCCTGTGGAACAGAGGATGCTCTACGAATATTCTGCAATCTTGGGCCTGGGTTGTCACCTCCCCTCCTTTGATGGCTTAAACTTCCCTCTGTATGAAAAGCAGCGTCTTAGAAAGGGCCCCTTGGACTCGGAGGAGAATTTGGGCCTGTGAATTGTTAGGTGCGTGTTCTGAAAGATGTGGGTCCAGGTATCAGCAAGTTGTTGGAATGTGGGAGGAAGAGAGAACATGGGGAGGGCACAGGGCACTCCTAAATGTTCCCTGGAGGTGCTGGATGACAATAGTGTAGTGTGATTGCAGATTGATTTAGTTTCTTTACTAATTGGTAGCGTGGGACCTTGTCCAAGGCTTTTTGGACATCGTGTTTGAGTATAGTGTGCAGCTGGTGTGTGCTGGGAGGTGTAGAGCTCCAGGCTGTACAGCAGCATTTCCTTTTGCAGAAACCATGCTGAAAGCCTCCAATCAGGTAGAATTTATTGTTGTGATCAGTCTTTATTATTCTATAGACTCCCCCATCTTGTCCAGGGTCAAAGGCAGAGCTGGCAGGCTGCATCCCCCAGGCTGTGCTCCACAGCCCCCTGTTGTAGATGCCATTGGAAGCGGTGACCTGACATCCCATAGTTGGTTGGTTATAATGATGGCCAGCAATTTTGGTTTGAATTCCTTCAGGCATTTTTAGGTGAATGCTGGTTTTTTAATGTGCATAGGGGCTGAATAGTCTCTTCTCTATTTTCAGAGGTTGAGAGCACCCCGAGCCCACTGTGCTGAGGTGGTTTTGTCCCCTTTTCTGGTTGTACTTCTGTGCAGTCACAGTTGTTCCCCTGCTAAGTTGGGTTTAAGCATCCATAGCTATGTGCTACTGCCACGATGACATTCTTTTGCATGATTTGTCTCATGTGACAGACTTTCTCATTTCTCCTTATTAGGAAAGGGAATTATTATTATTTTCCCCATAATAGCATTAAGTGATTTTGCTGCTTTCTCTTTGTATTTATTTGGACCACTAGAATTTAGTATGTAAGTATAGGATTTAATGTGCTGTTTGTATGTTTCTTGTAATGGGCATGTGCTGGGATTAATTATAGAGGTAGCTGTACCCCCTCCCCCTGCACAGGTCACAACCACGGCTGGGGTGGAAATAGCCAGAACCCCTCTGCGGGGTCCGAGGCAGCTCTGCTCAGGAGCCTTCCGTTTGAGGCTCCAAAGATATTTTTTTTCCATAACTAGTTCTATTGAGAGTGCAGTTCTCTGTGGGCAGGGACAATCAGCACCCTCCTAAGGATGTAGCCTCGCCACTCGGACAGGGAAAGCAGTCTTGAGTAGAATTTAATTTATTAGACACTAGGATTAATGACCACGCGGAATGGGTCCGTGTGTTTTTACTTGTGTTGGATTTTTATTGTCATGCTGAACTAACATTTCTTTCTCAGACAAGGAAAGCAGCCTTTATTAATAGTAGTTTATTAATAGTAGAATAGTGTTTAGGAGTATTAGAATTTTATTTATTAGAGACTAGGATTATTGACCATGAGGAATGTGTCCATGTGTTTTTGCTTGTGGTTGTGCTTAATTAACATTTCTTTCCCAGACAAGGAAAACACTCTTTAGTAGTAGTAGAGTGTTATTTATTAGAGACTAGGATTAATGACCACGAGGGGCGAGTCCATGTTTTCACATGTGTTGGTTTTTTATTGTCGTGCTTAATTAACATTTCTTGGTTTCCTCTCCAGCTCTGGAGCCAGCTGAGCGGGGCCGCTGCGGGTCCTCAGGGCGGCCATGGGAGGATCCGCGGGATTGGCTGCCCAGAGCTGTCACTCAGGGGCTGGGGCAGCTGCCAGTGGTGGGCCTGGCCGGGGGGGCGGGGGCTGGCCGGGGGGGCGGGGCCTGGCCTGGGTAAATCCCGGAGGAGGCAAGCGACGTGGGGTGTTAGCGCGGCAGTTTTGTTTGGTTTTTCTCTTATGTTTTTGGGGTCTGTTAAGAGGAAGTAGGAGAGACTTTTTAGCTTTGTTAGAAACCAGCAGAGCCCAAAAAGGTAAGAGAAAACAAAGTAGGAAAGGCTTTCAGCTGTTACAAAGTACCTTTTGGGGCTCTGTTATACTTTGTAACAGCTGAAAGTCTTTCCTGTTTGGTTTTCTCTTACCTTTTTGGAGTCTGTTAAGAGGAAAAAAAGTAGAAGAGACTTTTTAGCTTTATTAGAAACAGCAGAGCCCCAAAAAGTAAGAGACAACAAAGCAGGAAAGACTTTCAGCTGTTACAAAGTACCTTTTTAAGGTGTTACTTTGTAACAGCTGAGAGTCTTTCCTGCTTTGTTGTCTCTTAACAGAGCCCCAAAAGAAAATAAAGGAGGAGAGACTTTTTAGCTTTGTTAGAGACCAGCAGACCCCAAAAAGGTCAGCAGAAAACAAAGTAGGAAAGACTTTTAGCCAACTGCCAACACCCTACTTCGCTATGCTCCTGACATCACTTGCCTCCTGAGGGATTTACCTGGGCCAGGCCCCGCCCCCCCAGCCAGACCCACCACTGGCAGCTGCCCCAGCCCCTGAGTGACAGCTCTGGGCAGCCAATCCCGCGGATCCTCCCATGGCCGCCCTGAGGACCCGCAGCGGCCTCCCTTGGGCTTAGCAGCCTCCAGCCCTGTTCTGGAGGGTTAATTGGGCCTGGGGGGAAGGGCTGGACACCTCCACTTACCTGTGGTTACAAAGAGAGCCCGCGCCGCTGTTGCTCATAACAAAGAGAAAGCCTGGTGTTCAATAAAGCACACACAGCGTGCCTAGAGAAAACAAACAGCAGGAACCGTGCAGGGCTGCTCACCCCCAGGGCCTTACGCCCGTCCATGGCCACGGTGCCATCTGTGAGTGGACACAGCCCCCAGGCAGAGAGAGCCCGCTGTCCTCACCTCACCTCTGGCAAAGGGGCCTTCGGTTCCACCTACGCTACATCAGCTTCTGCAAGAGACACCATCTTTGCTATTCATTAATGAATTAAGACAGAGTAACATTGGTATCCAATCCAGGAAAACATGAAGCATATTTAAATGCAGTTTTGCACAAGAAAAGCTGCCCCTTTAGGGCGGAAAGATTGGACAGAGACTGATACAACCTACACACTCCCCCTAGATTGACTCTCGCTCGTACTCTGCCTGACAGGTTACCCCAGTCTCAGACAGAATGGGCCCAGTTACTAGAATCTCAGCAGAAGTATCATGACTCAGAGCTACAAAAATGGCGCGAGATCATCAAATCCTCGGTGATGCTTCTAGACCAGGTGAGACCTCACGGCCGGTTAGCGCCGTGACCGGGGGGTCCCCGTGTCCTGCCGGCCACCCGCTCGCAACCCTTCAGCCTTACCTGGTCCCACCGTAGTCCATCCAGTGCATCCCCCTGTAGATCCATCCTGTGACGTAGTGGGGGGCAGCAGGTCCCTTCGCAGGATACCGCAGCTTCCATCACCTCACAGGGGTCCACGCACGTCAAGGAGAGAATCCTACAGGGCCAAAAACCTTGTTTTAGCACATCTTTTAACTAGGCGGGTTGTACGCTGGGCTGCTTAGAACAGAGTTCATAACTGAAAGCTGCTTTCCTATACGGAGAGAGCTGCTCACCCCCTACCTCATCCTGCCCCCCACCTCTGGAGAACTGTCTCTCACAGGACCCCATCTTCTCAGTCCCCATTTGCACACCCCAGCCCCGACACGCTGCCCCCCAAAACCAGACAATTACAGTATCGATACTGACATGGAAGAAGGAGGCAGCGGAAGCGCTGTCACCGCTAGGGTAGCATCACAGCGGAGAAATTTCTTGTCTTGCAGATGAAGGATTCTCTAATAAACCTTCAGAATGGCATCGGGTCCCGGGACTTCGGGTCAGATCCAGAGGAGAAACGGAAACGTTTCCACTAACAGGCAGGAATGCAGGAGGCCAGAGGACGGTGTGCAATATGTGTAAATAGGATATATAAATATATATATAAAATATATATATATACAGAATATAAATATATATATTATATACAGATTTTAAGAGAAAAAAAAATAAGCCTGCGTATCGAGAGGAAGGATTGACCTCCAGCACTGGCTGAAATGGAGCGTCTCGCTGGTAGCGTGGTGTGTGTGTGTGTGTGGGAGGGCTGTGCTCTCCCGGCACTGAGGTGCGCTTGGGGGCGTGCCCGAGTGTGCTCCCCTGGGCCCGGGCGCCACTCCTGTAATATTCCTGGCTGTTTGTCTGTCTGTCTGTTTTGTTTTTGTTGTTTCAAAGGGAAGCATCAGAGTGAGTGCCCCCCTATCCCTTCCTGCGCATGAAGGTCCCTGATTGACTGTATTTATCTATACATACAAAGGGGACACTGTCAACTTCCTTACCTTGCTGGCTTCAGGGCAGAGAGGTTTTGGCAATCGCTGTCAATCCCTTCCAGAACTATTCCGCAGTTGGAGAGGAGGCCTCGGGAAGAATTGCTGTAGGTCTGTAGAGATCAGATCTCACCGGCAATCACCTTCTGTACTTCTTGGAGCAGAAACACAATTTGCTGTCGCGCCAGCCAGCCTGGTTCAGAGAGCAAAGCACAGAATGTAAAGGAGCTGAAATGCTTTCTCCAAACACCAGTTTGCCACCTCCTGGTATTGATACTGCACTAACGGCCAAGGAGATGGTGGGGAGGGGAGAACCTGCCTACAAGGTGCCTGGATGGTGGAGAGCCACACCACAGAAATGACACTTCTGTTCCTTTTGACAGTGTCCCCTTTATGTTTTCTGTAGTATCTGCTTTCTGTGTGCTTGGGCCCCTGCCATTAAGCCATCCCTGTGCTGAAGATGTACATCGGTGCTGAAAGGGCTACTACCTGTGTGACTTCCCATGACAGGGGGGTACCCCAGCTTCAAAAGAAAACCAAATTATTATTTATTGGCAATTGTTCCCCCTACCCTGCTCAGCAAATGTCCCTCCTGCCCCTGGTCTGCCAGACCATTTTGCTCGTACCGCCCAGCCCTTACCTTGTCTTAGAAACTCTGCGGGGAAAAATTAGGGAGAGTAAGAACAACTTTCTTTCCTTCCCTGGGATATTTACATGTCTACATCTATATAGCAACAGCCATCACTGTGGATATTTATGTGACTGCCTCCCAAGGTCCAGGAAGAGGTTAGGAAGGGTCACAGGGACCAAAAAATTAAAAGAGAAAAAGGGACCATCACTGGGTGGCAGGATAGAGCCAGAGGGGTGTCCACCGTGTGAGGCATCTCACTGGTCTCTCTCATAAGCAAAACGTTTGCTCTTTAAGCAATTTAGGTGGCAGAGCTGTGTTAAAAAGCCAATAAGAATTTTGACTTGTTCTGGGGGATTATTCCAGCCTCCCATTAGCAGCCAAATGAGGAAGAGGGGCAGTGAGGCTGCAGCGTCCCAAACACCGCTGTGACTGGTGGGGACGCAGGTGCTTGTTGGAATGTTTAATAAATGCTTTCTCATCTTACCCAGCCAGGTAGATTAGGTGACACGTGAGGTCCTCCATCTCCAGCTTGTTCAACGCCGGGACTTTTCCACCTTCTGAATAGCAGTAGGGAGTCAGCTGCATATTCCCCTCATGCGAACGGTTCATCCGTTGTCTCTGGCTCCAACGGGCGCTGAAAAAGCAGGAGAAGTAAGAGTGAGTAACTGGTTTTCGTATCTCTGTACCAGAAGCTCTCATCTGCACAGCTGGGTGATACAGCGGAGTCTAAGGAAAACCCTCCCACCCTCCCACCCGTGCATTCCAGTTAGGGAAAGGTAATGGATGTGGAAGTAACCCGCTCATTTCTCCCAACCTGCCCAGTTTTCATGACCAAGTGCTAAACACAGCACGTCCCGCGGAAGACGACTTGCATCTGAAGAAGAGTGGATGAAGATGGGTTATCAGAAAGACATTTTGAGTGTGAAAGCAAGGTTCAGCTGGGAAAAACACGCCTCGGCAACTAGACAGTAATGTGTATTTATGACTATTTATTTAATTTAATGCTGCTGACTACTGTACTGCTCCCTGACTTCTTTCCAGGGAGGCTGCTGAAATGGTTACTGTACAATGAAACTGAGGTGCTAGTGCCTGAGAAGAGCATTCTGTGGCTTATCTCGCGACAGGAGGGCCCTGACTCCCCGCTGTGACTTGCCACACTGGCCAAGAGTCCTGTTTCTCCATTAGTCACTCCCACAATTACTAAGCACAGAAAAATCCCCTGCTCCCCGTCTTCCCCTCTTCTAGGATTTAATTCCAAGCACCAAGAAAGAAGACAGAGAGGAAGCCCTGTGCTCTCCACTGTGCCCACACCACGTCTTGAGAGAGAAACCTGGGATGTGGGGTCTCTGCCACCTGGCCGGGAGGGTTTTATACATAGACGGACGTAACCCAACAAGAGGCAGAGAAACTCAACTGCCTGAGAGGGTTGAAAATAAAGGCTAGTGATCAGAGTTAGCTTCTTACCAGTTTCACATTCTCCTGCTAGTTATGGAGGCAAGAAATCCATTTGCTCATCTGTACATCCTTCTCCCTCTGCAGCATTCTTCCAGATTGCCATCGCGTTCTGTTCTGGATGTTCTCAGTGACGCAGCTTCCCTGGGCTTGGCCTTAAGAGATAGAACTGCACAAGCTCTGTTACATTCACGCCAGGCCATGCGGAGGCAGCTGTGACAAGCACTAATATTCCTTCTGCTCACCCATTACTTTAACCCGGGTTTAACACGTCTGACATATCTCCTGACACACACATTAAATCCTTGAGTAACGAGTGTAAGGGTGGTGGTCACCAAACACAACCTTGTACAAGCAGCGCCCTTCAGACCGAGGAAGGATTCTCTTTGAGGCCTTAGGTTTCTTTTTCTCCCATTCCTAGTTATTTACTTTCTTTTTGCCATTTGGCAGCAAGTCTGGCTTGGAGCTAGATAGGATTTCTGATCTTCTATTGCCTCTTAGTTTATCACAGGAGTAATAAAAGAGAAAAAAGCAAGGTTTTAGGCAAAACCCACAAAGGCACTAAAGGTGAGGACTTAAGACCTCAGTGTGTTTTCTCCCTCCTCTAGAGAGCTACAATAGGAATCACCTCCTCCTGCAGCCGAGTCCCCATCAACAGATTAATTCCTTTTGCAGCCACAGACGATTTTGGGCCCTGCCTGTTTATGATTACATTTCCTGGAGAAATTAGTAACGCTTTCTAGGAGCAAGGCTGAGTAACGTTGCAGGGGGTGGCACCTCTGCCTTCCCTGAGCAGGCACAGCCGAGTAGTAGCTTGGCTTCCATTGTCAGGGTTTCACTTTGTTCCTTGCTTACCTGTGCCAGGAATCCCACATCAATGGCAGGGTGTTTTTATAGCACCTTGCAGACGCGTTTCCCTGCCAAGTCCTCTCTCTGACCCTTCTGCCGCTGCTGATCTGCCAGGTGAGCGCAGCTGGCTTTCCACGTGCAGAATCTGAACACAAAAGAGTTTTAAGAAAGCATTTCTCCAGCCAAAGATGCAAACTAATGCTACCAGCTATAGCCTAATTCTTGCCAAGTAGGATGGTACCTATTGGGAGGAGGGAGAAGAGGGAACAGAAGGCTCTGATTTGCCCGTCTGTGTGTCTGACCTGTTCTTATGGGAGAAGAATATCCTCACTAATCCCAGCTTGATACAGTCTCACTTCTGATAACTACATGTCTGATAAACACATGCCTTTGAATGCTTACCTTCAAAGAAGTGCTTGGTGTATAGCATCGGGGACAAGCTCAAAGTGAATTTGAGACCTGGATAACTGCTACGCACTCGTGCATTCCTTAAGTAGATACCGAACGTATCTAGTCAGGCACCTGCACGTAAAGTCTCTGAAGGACCAGAAGACAGAGGTTATTCCAGGCAGTAGGACTGGAAGCATGTGCCCAGAACAGGCTGGGGCTGCACATTCCACTTCAAAGAGAGAAGGTGCCTGTAATAGTAAGAACAGGAATTAGCTGTGAATTAACTGGATAACTGTGCTTTTTGGGGGCTCAACTATTAACCGATAATCCAAGGCATGCTTCAGCCAGAAAACTTCACTATTAACTGATATTAACTGATACTAACTTGTACATCAATCCTTTGTGGCTCCCTTAAGTCCTTTGGGAGAAGATAAAGAAGTCCCACGAGTTTGATCTCCCCTAACACAGCCCAGCTGTGTTGCTGACACAGAGCACGCATTTACCCACAGCTCACAGTCTGGGGCAGCCACTGACCCCCCTGACCCCACCTGTCTGCTTTAGATGTAATAAAGGCAAACCCAAGGGATACATAACATGCCTTTATTACAGACGTGACCCCATACTGAAAGAGGCACGTTTTCAAAGCACGATGCTTTGCTGGATTTAAAGCCCTGGCACAAATCTGCCTTTGAAATGCTGCTGCCTGCACTGCCGCGTCCCCTCTCTGAAAGCTTCATCCGTGTTCTTATCGGACAGAGCCCCTTAGTTTCAGAAACTCACCTGGGTGAGAAAGTGGGGACAGACTTTTCAGGCCACTTGTCTCCTCAGCACTAAACCATGTACCTACATACATGGTTTTTTCCTACCTTTAATCAAGAAGGTACAAATTTGTTTTCCACATAGTTGCTGGAGAAGCTTTTGGTCCGAGTACTTGAAACCAGACCTTTTAGATCCGCTCCAGTCACTTCTGTGCGGATACAAAGGTGATGAGAAGGCGCCTGCGATACACCAAGGCTCAGTGAAGGACACACTTGCAAACCTCATGCTTTGTCTCTCCCCGTGTCAGAAGGGTGTGCACACACACCGGTTTGGTGACTACAGTCACATGGCCTTAACCCTTCTCCCTTTCCTGGTGGCTCTGCCTTCTCAGACCCATACTTCCATCATCTTTCAGTGATCCTAAGGCACCCCAACAGAGAAGACAGAGAAGGCAGCCTGCAGCCTCCCCACCAGCCAGCTCTAGGACAGAGTGGTGGAGATGGTCTCCAAGCCTAGAAAGACCTTGTGCAGAATGAGCTGCAGAACAGAGGTTAGTGGCTTCCCGCTTCCTAATCGAGAGATGGGACAGTAGGTAGAAAAGCAGAGTCAGTAATAAACACTTTAAAGCAAGAGCGCCTGGCTCGGGGGAGGCAATTCTGCCCTGTTTGTCAGGGCAGCTGCTGCTGTCCCACAGCTCCGGGCAGAACTGGGCTTTTCGCGCTGAGCTCCAAAGAGATCTTTCCGATGGGATCTCTGCCAGACTTGCTGCCACTGCTGTGTTCCATGGGGACTCTGCTTTAGGCTTTTCTCAGTCTCAGACAGTCTCAGCACTAGTTACAGTATCCGGCAGGGGCTTGCTTAAAACAATACTCCAAACAGGGACTCAAACCAAAGCACCCGAGGTAAGTGGCTCACACAACGTTGCTGTCCGTGGAGTTTCCGAGCCGCGACCGTGCGGACTCTCTGGCCCGTTCCCCTGCCTGGCGCGCTCTGATCTCTCTGTGCTTTGCCGGCTCTACAGCACGGGTCTCTCTGTGCCAATAATACCTTTCTTTTTCTAGATGTGCACACTGGCCAAATAATCTCCTCCTGTCTTGATCAACTGCCGATTGAGATTATTTCCCCATCTACCTGGACCGCATGGGCTTCTCTCTTAGCATGGATAGGTGGTGTGCCATGCCCTCCTCTCCCGCACACCCTCTGCAGTGCTTGCTATGGCTTTTCCCCCCTCCCCTCCCACCTTTGCTGCTGGACAATCATTCCCCATGTCATAGATGGCCTGACCTGGTGCTGTCCCTGCTTGCCTTTCCTCGCCGCAGTCTGTATGCTCTTTAAGTGAATGTGTTTTATTTTTTTTTTTTTTTTCAGTAGGGAAAAGGACTTCCTTCTGCTGAAGGAATTATATTTGCACATGGCTCAGGGAGGTACCTCCTCTGGCCGTTTCTGTTACCTCACTCATTTAGGCCAATTCCATTGCTAACGTTAAATGGCCACCTTCCCCAACCCCAAACTCCAAGAATAGTTTAGGGAACAAAACCAACGTGCAGCTCAGGTTCTAGAGCCATTTGGTCGTGTCTCAGTTTCGGCCCAATCCGCCCCAGCGGCACTAGGATTTGGGAGAGCGACTGTTAGGAAACGGTGACTTTATCCAGCAAAGAGGTGGAGCCTGTGCCACACGCACATCGTTCCCTGTCTCCGTGAGCCCACCTCCCTTGTAATAGCACTTAACAGATACAGAAGCACTAACCTGGCTCTTGGCCCGACGAGCTCAGTGGGGAGGGAGGAGCAGCAGAACCCTCGTTGCAGGACTGGCATCGTGTGGCTGTGGCACCTCTGGGACGTTCCCATCCTCACTGCAGGTCATCTCCCGTCACATGCTCCAGGGTCGGATAAAGCTGCTAAAAACCTGGAGCGTGTCCTCCCCACCCGAGGCCCTGGATCCCACAACCCCCATTGCTGTGTGTAACCGCGAGTTAAGGAGGGTTCGCCTCGCGTCGGCGCGGGACACGAGTGGGTAGTACAATCACCCGTAGGCAAGTGCCTCCATTCTGGGTGTCACCACCAGAGCCGGGGGCAGCGGGGGGGCTGCTGGCGCCTGTAGTGCTAATGTGACCCGTAGGGAGGGGTGGGGTGGGGGAGGAAGCGTGGTTTTGTTTTAGGAGTTGTCTAACTGTCATAAACTTTGCGCTGTGCGCAAAATGCGATAAAATGATACTGAAACTTACCTGCTAGAACCTAGGAATTGTAAAGGCTATGCAGCCAAACCTTAATGTAAAGTAGCTAGTACAATGGAAGTACGGTATAAATTAAAAAAAAGAAAAAAAAAAATCTATCAAACAAACAGCGTGACTCATGAGTGCTTTGTTCTTTTTATTATCCTGCCTGTTCTAAAGTCTCTTCTGTCATTTCCAAATACAGAGAGAGTCTTTTGAGACCAACCAGGACCGTCTCTTCCGGGACACGACCTGCCTTTAAACACCACCCTTGAAACCCCCCCACCCCCCCCCCCCCCCCTTTTTTTTTTTTTAAGAATCTTGAGCAAAATTTAGACACCATTTTCTCCTGCCTAGAACAACACAGGGCAATAGTCATCTCTGTCTGCAGGAACTGGAGAAGTGAAAGATATGTCCAAAACAAAGCATCTTGGAAAGATGCAGGTAAGATACCAGAAAGTGCAGGACTAGAGCACGGCCCTTCTTTACCCCCTGAGGTAGCTCTCAAGAAGTTCTCAGTTTACTCCTTTTTTGACTGACCATTATGACACCAGAGGGTTATCAGCGCCTCACGGGGACTGAGGAGCAGAGATGAAGGAGGAGAGAGGTTACGCGCCCTTACCTAAAAAATCACCATGGGCATCACTGCCATGGCCACTGATGGCAGCTCTGGAGTTAGAACCTCGTCCCTCCTCTGTTGCTGTGGGTTTGGAGTTAGGATTATGCCCAGAACTGCCCTGAGGCCAGGCAAATTGGCACAGGGAAAATGAAGATGTACAGCTGGATTAGAAAAGGAGCTGTTTTTTCCCCTTTTGGTTATTAGTTTTTAAGGAACCGGTGCCCAGGCTACAAGTGTGCTTCACCTGGAAAATGTACTGGGGTTGCCAGGCTGGGCTCTGGCCTTGAGAGCGATCCCACCGTGAAGACTGCACTGTAGGAGTGTACTAAAGTTGACACCCACTCTAAAAAAAAAAAGACTTTTGAACAACTGCCAGTTAGAAATCTGGCCTGGGCCTGACTTACAAATGGAGTCGTTTCTGTGGCTGTAGCAACACATAACAAGCAGCAGAACAAAGCAGAGGGGGTTCTGCAGGTGGGAAGGGAGCATGCCTGGATACACAAGCACTCTAACTATTTAAAAGCAGTCAGTGTAGCAAAATCTGTCACCTCTGGCAAGCAGTACAGGCTCCATTGCAGCAGGGATGTACCAACATCTGCTATATGAAAAAACCCAAACCTTCCCCCATCTTGTCTTAAGGTGCAATTCCACCCCGGCCAGTGATTCTGCCTTTTCTTTGCCTCGTAATCCTGGCTGTTGAGCTCAAATGATCTGTGTTTGAGGACACAGAACAAATTTTACTCTGCTTAATGCAGCACAATTGAAAAGGTAAGTCTGCCTAGGAAGCATTGAACTTACAGCGGGATTCCTGTGCAGCAGGGGATCATTTACCATGAGTGCTGACTGTTCAAACCAGTGATGAACTACCACGAGAAACAATTACAATTAACTAGGAAAAACCAAGTGTTTTCTGTCTGTTCCTCTAGGTGGTGCTACGCTATAGCATGAGAAGACTGATACCGCAGTTACACAAAGTCCTACCATTTTACAAAGCTGTCCATCCTTTCCCCGTGAGGGCTGTACATCCTATTTACTCGCCTACCTGCATCAGGCTGTCTTTTTTTTTCACGGGGGGCGGGGGGGGTTCCCCCAGAAACAGGTGAACTGCAAACCTCGGCCTACCAGTTATGGCTGTGTCTCTGGGTGCTTGAGGAGCAAACCTGCTACACGAGGGAAAGTGACAGAACTAAGAATTCTGCCACTTGCTAAAGGAAAGGGGATGGGGGGTACAGGGGATTCTGATACTTACGTCACACTCCTCCCCCAAAGCAGTGCTTCAGGATCTATAGTCTCAGTTCCCTCCTCCGGAAGCAAGGCTGGATGTGGCACAGGGACTTCTCCCTCCTACTACATATTTTCATCAATTCTGATAAATTATAGTCCTCACCCTACTCTGCCTGTGAATGGCAGAGCCCAAAGTCCAAAATAACAACTAATTAATTAATTTCTTCCTGTTTTTCTTCCCCTGCTCGGGCTGTAACTTAACGGTAAAACATCACCCTAAATGACCTCACTCCCAGTCCTGCAGGTCAGAGTAACATGACATACATACCCTTTATCTCTGCAATGGAGAACTAGCGTATTTAGCAAATAAAGGTGGTGGTGACAGCAGCTAAGAAATGACACTTAACATTTACAAAGCCATTAACATGATGATGGGACTGAAACTTGGGAAGGAGCCGTGCTGCCCACACCCCTGAGCCCCTTGCTCAGCATGCTTCAAAAGAAGAGTCCTTTAGCAATGGGCCGGCAGCTCAGAATGGAGTCATGAGGCCAAAGTCAAGCCTGTACAGAGTCCAAGGCAAATGGAAGAGAATTTACACTTCCCCGTATTTCCTCCCGACGGCGCAGAGCTCCCCCTCAAACCTGGCTGGCAGGACACGGTCCTTCTGTCTTCAGAGCCCCTGGAAGGGAGAGAATTCCTCTTGGAGCACCAGTCATTCGGCCTTACTCAAGTGAGGATCATGATATAATTAGCATCGTAACGGACAGGATGCGAACACGGCTTTAAAAGATCTAGATTTTGGTGTTTTGCACACAAAGTCCTTCCTAGCAGACGCTTCCTTTGGAAATAGTACCCTCCTGAGCACAGCTTCCCATCTGCAGGGGACACTGACTATTCCCAAACTTCCTTTGGAAATAGTACCCTTGCATTCCTCCTGAGCACAGCTCCCCATCTGCAGGGGACACTGACTATTCCCAACTCCACAGGAACAGGCAAAGGAGTAATTACAGCATGGCCTGAAAGTGAATGTGTGTGTTGGTCAGGGTTTTAAAGTACTATGAGTACACCCACCACCTAAAGATACCTGTATTGCTCCTAAGAACTGAGGAAGCTCCAAATGGAGCACAGCTGGATGCCAGGAGTCTTCCGTCCGCCTGTTCTCCAGCCCCACACTTGCCTAACCCACAGTGGCTGAAGGGTTGACACAAGCAGTGATTGACTGTTTCCTCAGCACTTACTTTGGTGCCGTTTGTTCCACTGACTCCTTCCCGCTATTCCTCCACAGGCACGGGACAGTTTTCCTTGTTTTCCGATGGAATCGCAAGATAGTCTGTCCTGTAGTCGGAGGGAAGGAGGAAAGCTTAACCTCAAGGGCTAAAAACAGTCCAGGTCTGTTCACCCTTAGGATCTCTAAGGTAACAAATGTCACCTGTAGAAGATGTTCACAGCAGGAAACTCTCCTTGGCAGAGTCAGGAACAGATACCGAGTCTTCCCTACTGTAAAATCCTACACAAACAGCCTTCCTACCGTGTACAAACACCCAAGCCAAGTGTGCAGAAAGATGGGAATGGGACAGTAAAAAAATGCAGTGTCAACTGCAGGTGAGAGTCACATGTCTGAAAGCAAGCCCTTCAGGAGAGCGTCTCCGCGCAGCTCACTTTGGGATACCACACACCACGGCCACCCTCCCTACCTGGTGCGTTGTCCCTCATTGTACAAGTTCCCTGTCTCTTTTGGCACTCCTAAACACTGCAAAGATTCCAGACATAGCAAACATCAGCTAGAAACGTGCAACAGCAAAGCTCAGTCTTCTTGCAGTCTGATCTGGGCTGAGACACCTGAAGAGCCCTGGGAGAAACAGCTCGCATCGGGAGAGATTTCACACTTACGCATTTTCCTGGGCAGCCTCCTCCGCCTTAGAGACTTTCCTGTAGCAATAGACCATCTCTATCAGTAGCCACAAGGTGAGGAAGACCAGCAGAATATACATCATAATTTCAGAGATGACCGAGGTGAAGTCTTCTCCAGCTGTTAAGAAAATGCAACAATCTCTGATCATTTACGTGCAGCTACAGCTCCACTGATGCCTTCCACCCCATGTCATCCTTCCTAACCCCCCTGCCAGAGATACCCAGATGCCACTACCCTGTGAGGGAGGCCAAAAGAGAAGGATGAAGCTGCCAAAAGGACACGCCAGTAACCATCCCACTGCGTGTTTCCAGTGGAATCACGCACGGGCTTGGAGTGTGTCGTGCAATTCTCTGCCACCCACATGTTTGCAGGGATTGCTCACCGTTAGCCTATCTCATCTTCACACTTTGTTTCCTTTTGTGCATCCCACTCGCTGGTGCTACTTGCCTGTTATTGTGCCGCCGGTGGTTTGAAAGGGATCAAAACACAGAGATGCTTGTGGGGAAGAAGGGAAGGGAAGACACAGCAGAAAAACATGAGGGCTAAAAGCTCTTGTCCCTCTCCGAAGAGAACAGAATTCCCATTGATTTCTAAGGAGCCAGGATTTCAGCACTGAACTGAGTGAAACCAGGAGGAACAGAAAGACTGGGGAGCGCTGCAGAGAAAGGAGGGAATGGGAGAGGGTGGAAGCAAGGGACGGATATCAGAATGGAGGAGTCATTCCAGGAGGGAGGGCGCGCAAGCAGAGAAGCCACCGTTGCGGTACCCTGGCCAAGGCTGTGCTGTAGCATCCCAGAGCCACCAGGGGAGAAGCCAGGGCTCTGAGCAGGGAAACCTCTGCCTGCTTCTTGTGCCTGCCCAGCTGTTCCCAGCTGTTGTCCCAGCCCGCCAAGCTTGCGATACCTTCCCACATTCACATTCAACCACCCTGAGCCTAAACAGAAGCTGCAGCTGGCAAACAAAATGCAGGTCTTTCCCCCTGAACCTTGTGCAGTGTTTGTTGCTGGCAAAGACACACCATTATCCGGCAGCCTGGCATCCCCTCTCCTGCAATGCAGTGACAAACTCTATCCCTGGATGACAACACCCACAGCGAGTTCAGGCAGGACACACTTTTGACCAGTCCTTCATACCCTCTTCCACCACGGTGAGCTGGATCCGTCTGGAGCTGGTGAAGAGAGGTCGGTGAATCTCGAACTCAAACTCCCGGGTGATGTTACAGGTGTAGACACCCGAATCATTCAGAGTCACATTTAACACAGTGATGGACACGTCCTGCATGTCTTTACTCCCGTTCCACTGTAACCGGCCACTGAAGCGGCTTGGGAATTCACGGAAATTCTTGTTCCTGTAATCGTAGATCTGTGAGGGAATGTGAAGGGATATTCTGATTAACCACGGACTCGTATCTCGGGCAACACCACAGCCTATGCACAGCGTCCTCCTCTAGCTACACACGTGTATGTTCTGGCTATGGCTTCCTTAGTAACAGCAGATATTCATATTCTATCAGCCTTTACCTCAAAATCTCAGACTGCTTTACAGAAGTCAGAAAACTGAATTATGTCCATCACAGAGTTCAAAAAACAGAGACATATGTGGACAATGACACAAAAGATCAGCAATGGAACTATTAACTAGGATCCTGCAGTCTCCGTGCCTCGCCTGTCGGTCACTGCATGTAAGATCATCTTAAGAAGGAACCAGAATAAATACAGCAAAGACAAACAGTCACTTTCAGTAAGCCCCAAGGGATTCAGCTGAAATGGAAGTGTTGCAGGATAATTATGACAGTGTGAAAACCATACATCAGAAGAACAGAACTGGGTGGCTTTTGCAGGCCTCATCTCTTGCAAGTTTCTGGCTGCCCACCATATAACTGCCCACCCCAGTTCACTTCCCTCAGCATTCTTTAGGTCACCACTGGCAAACTGATCACCCAGGTCACTGAAAGTGAATTCCCATCTCATTCCTTAGTGTGGCCCCTTAATTCCCAGCCAGGAGGGGAATCTGTCATCTTGCCTGCCCCTGCTCAATTGTAATGAAAAGCCACCACTGATCTAATGCTTCATACACAGATAGAATAGCTAGAAAGAAACACGTGCACTCAACTTTAATCTTATTTGTTGCTTTACCATTCTTTTGTGAATTCCAGTTGTCCCTCATCTGTACAATACCTGTTTTTAATTCACTCTGAAAACAAATATTACCTTTTCCTGGCAGGCACTCACAGAGATCCTCCCACAGTCAGGACACCCCCGATTTCTCTGAGGCAAAAAGAAGTAAATACCGTCTTGCCAATTTGCCAGAGCCCAATTTAACCTCTAAAGAATAGCTTTGGGATTCAGAAGTGTTGTGAGAAGAGAGACTTGGTCAAGGCTACCAGGCGTCACTCCATACTTCTGTTTCCCTTCTTGATTTCCTTACATTCTAGACTTGAAATATTCAAGGAATGGGCCTGGAAATTCACGTTAACGTATGCACGACCCTAAACGTTTGAACTCAACAACAGATTCCAACTTTACCTGCCATGAGTTCATGCTGTGCCCAAGTGTGGACATCAGCTAAGTGAGGAAAAGACACTTTAGTTAACTGCCCAAAATTGGTCTGTAGAACCTCCAGGTGAAAATGCTGCAGAAATTGCGAAGATCTGCAGCTTGGAGCTGAACTCCAAGCTCCTCTCTCCTCCATGTGGCAGAAAGCCTTTTATTCTTATTTAGGTCTCTCTCCTTCCTTTATATCGTCCTCCTTGGGTATCTTGTCACAGGACAAGCTTACACTCTCATAAATACCTTTTGGCTTCTCCCACCTGAGTTCACTGGGCTGTGTTTCACAATAAGACCCATGAAAACAAGGCCTCAGCTACCAAGCATACATACAGGTTCATCTTTTCCACCCTCTGGCCTGTAGAACCATTCTACCACCGTGGTGGCTGTGACCTCTTCCCTCTTCATGCAGGAGATGCAGAGGAGCTTCATGTCTTTTCCCTGGACAGCCTCTGTCTCTGATGGAACTTCCACACATACTGCAGAACAAAAACCGGCTAGGGAAAAGGAGCAGCAGAGAAGAAGTGTAAGACAGAATCGGAGAGACATCAGTTATCCACATCTCGGCATTTGTGACCACATCATCCCCAGTGGAAAACCGTTTGATTCATTACTAAGCCCCTCTGACAACAGATAAGTCTCAAATGTCAAATTTTACCAAGCTTCCTTTTCTGAGATATAAATAATTCATAATAATTAACAGAGGGTGATCACTTCATGCAGGCTCACCTCTCCAGCATCTGCTTTGCCACAACTTTAATTTTTCCCATAGTAATTAATGCCACTTTAGAGGCACTGTTCCTTCCCTCCCATGCATGCTGAGAGTGCTGCTGTTACAGTAGCAATTACAGGCTGGTAGGAGAGAGAGTGGAGGAACAGCTCGCTCTTTGTGCTAAGTTAAAAGATCTGGATGTTTTAATCTGGCAACATGTTCAAAACAAACTGGGAGGATTCACCACCCTTCCTGTTTCTAGGTTTCATAAGCAGTACTGGGAACCAAGGGGCTTGGACTCCAGTAAATTTGGCAGCAGGAGGAGTTATTGATTTTACACGCGTTCCCGTTCAAAATGCTTCCAATCAGATCTGTGCTGTAAAATACTGCTCTCCCAAACGAGACAAAAATCATTCGTCTGTGAAGCTGAATGCTTGATAAATAAAAAAAAAAGAAAAAAGGAATGCTTCAGCACCACATCTCAGACTAAATCCCTGCTGACATTTGTCCCCTGGGCTAAACAATACTGGGTTCTGGCTGTCCAAACCTGTCTCCAAAGCCTAGAGTTTAGCTCACTGGAGATGCTGACTTTGCTTGGCTGCTCCCTCCTCCCCAGCCTCTCAGATACCATTAACCCACTCTCTCAAGCGCTCTATTATCCCAGGACATATCCTGGAAAGAGCCAGATTCCAATTCTCCCGTACTACCCGCACCAGTTTTCTGGGAGAAATAAAGAAGAAGCTACTGGATGGTGCTTTACTCCGGTTAAATTAGATACGTAGACGCAGATATGCACCCACACACAGAGCTGTAGCTGAACATGCACATCAAATGTAGCTGAAATGGGCAAAACTAACCACCCTTTTCTTGGTGGTAGAAGAAAAATCCCAATAAAACGACTCTAGTTTATACAGACTGCGTGGAAAACGAGCACTAACATGCACCGCGTAACGGTTTGCACATCCTCCCCGAGGCAACTAAATGCTAAATTACATTGCACATTTCAAAACAACAGCAAACGGGAAACAGTAAAGAACTTGCATGCGTATTAAAGCACACGCTTTGTGCCCTAAGTCCACTTAGCGGTACCGTATTTTATCTGCTCATATCACCTCCAATGCATTCATACTAACTCTACACGAATGCAATTTCCTTCTCCACTTGTAAACAGAAAAAAAAAAACAAAACACGTAGAAGGCTGGTCTCTGTGACAGCGTTAAGGGAACCTTGCTAGGAAACCCGGTTCTTTAAAGAAGCATCCTGCAAGGGGCAAGCACCACATTTTGGGGGAGAACCTGGCCGAAGACAAGACGGAATGGAAGCACCTACCCCAGAGCACCAACGCGACCGAAGAGGCACAAACCAGCCTGGGCAGCGCAGCCATTGTTCGGCGCCACGAGCGCATCTCAACCTGGGCAGAGGCTCTTTCGCAAAAGAAAACGCTCCTTCTCCCCCCCTCCCGGGGGCCGTGGACGCGGCGCAACAGGATGCCCGGGGGCTGCGCCGGTGGGCGAGCAGGAGGGTGTGCGGGATGCGGGAGGCTGTGCGGGATGCGGGGAGGGTGTGCGGGGGCAGCACCACGGACAGGGCCGAGCCCCGGACAGCTCCGCTTCTCGCCGGGGCGCGGCCGCCGCCGCCTCCGCCCCGCTGCGCTGCGGGGCGCGGAGCAGCAGGTGGCTGCGGGGAGCGGCGCTGCTCAGCGCGGCCCCGCCGCCGCCCGCACCCCTTTTTGCTTTGTTCTCCGGCCCGGCCCCGAGGTGTGTGTGTGTGTGTGTGTGTGTGTGTGTGGCTGCGCCGAGCCCAGCCTCGCCCGGGCGGGGGGCACGGCCCGCCGCAGGCATGCGCGGCAGCCTGCCTGCCTCCCTCCCTCCTCCTCCTCCCCCGGCCCCACCGGGCTCCTCGGCACCCCCGGGAACACTCCTATCCATCCCCCCCCCCCCCCCCCCCCCCCCC